TGAACGATCATTTAAGTGCATAGAACTTATTGACACCCGGCTGACTTTTGATGATATATGATATTGACTTTTCAACTATGTATATATTTCTGTTAGATACGAACTGTTGTAATTAAACAATGCTTAATCCCATATTTTATTTAGAAACTGGGGAATGCTCCCTAGTTCGCGGGTGCACTATAGTCCACAGTTTCACTAGTCCGCGGGTTCATAAGTCCACCAATATCTATTATTAGGGTTGGGTTAGGTTTAGGGTTATTTTTTTGATACCCATACTTATAGTATTTCTTATAGCGGCGGACTAGTGCACCGGCGGACTAGTGAACCCGCGGACCAGTGAACCCTTTTCTTCAAACCACTATGATCTGTGTACAAGCCCCGCGTGACTTAAAGGATATACACATCGGTCAGTTAATCATACCATGATAAATAGACAATTCCATGTAATATTATGAGCATGAGTCTATTTGTCAGTTTTTTTAAAAGTTCCATTGGAGTGGCAAATAAAACAGTTCGTTTTTTGATTTGTCATAGTTTTCATTGCGAAACAATCGTTCATCTCATATGAGGTAAATTACAAGAAAAGGGTATAAATCAACACATGACACTAACAGGCCACCGTAGGGAGCGGATGAGAGGAGCACAGACCGGCGAATGGGCTCATCCGACTTCAGCCGCTGCCGAGGCAGAAGGGCGGAATGGTTGAAATCTAGTCCTATACTATATTAATGTAAGATGTTGATGTTATTGTTTATGTCCCTGTTGTATTTATGTAGCTGTTTTATATTCTATTCTTGGTGTAAATAAACCACATATTTACGAAACTGATATCTGTTATCACTAAGTTAGTGTTACACTTACTAGTTGAATATATAGGTCAAGATATGGCATTAATCAAAGGGCAAGATTCCGAGGGTTAAAAACGAACGCATGAGTGATTGTGTAAAACCTTAATAACTTGATCGATTAAGACTATCGATTAAGACTATTTAGTATTGTTGAATGTCTGATTCATTCTTTTACATAAAGAGGAATTAGAAGAAAAAAAACCTTTATTTTATTTGAACAAAATAATTTATAAAATCTAATGATAATACCATTAATTAGAAAAACGTCATTTTTCCTATTTATATTGACGAATGTTTAAATATTTATGTTGAATACATGAAAGAAAATACCGACGTGTATGTCAACAATGATAACTATAAATTCAATCAAAAGAATATCGATTATATTGTTTTTAATATTAGTTTAAATATTTTTTATATTTCTTTGTCTTGAAGAACGTTATTTTATTCTGAACACTACAATCCTGGCCGTACTGATATTTATCCTTCTATTCGGATACACCATGTTAACTATGCCGTGATATTACGACATTCCTTTTACGACATTCGTCTGGTGGCATTTGAAAATGTTTCTGGTGACAGTCTTACGACATTATTTACGATGTTCTATAGATCGTATAACAACAAATGCGTCTAGACAAACTACAATAACTTGTCTCATTGTCATTTCCACAGAATTTTTCAAAATTTCGATTTACTTGTCTTTTCTACACTAGTTGAGGCTATCGAAAGTATAAAAAACGAAACGAAATAATGATCTGTATTTTATTCAGATTGATTCATATCATACAGGCCATTGCGGATTCCAGTTGGGCCCCATCAAATTATTCCACAGGTTCTTGTCTCATGATACAACCTGCAGTTGTGCCATGACCGGGAGAGAGAGAGAGAGAGGGGGTGGGATGGGATGAAGTTGTAACGGCGCTAACAAACTCTGGAAGAGTATAAAGATTAATTCTATATCAACGAAAAGATCAAAAATAAAAAGGTAGAAAAGCACATGGTTAGATTTTATTTTCCACCAGACGTTGTTTTTAACACAAACGGCTGTTTATTGTATAGGGCCTACCGTCAACCATCTTCTTGTGTCTACTTGTTACTTATTCAAGAACACGTACAAGTTATGGTCTTTGGTGAGATGCGAGTCTGTCTTGTGATATGTCCTCTAGAGGACACCCAAGGTCATTTTAAATACCGAACTATCCTCTTTATTCGCATGGCGAAGAATGAAGATGAGTGTTTTTTGTTGTCCATCATGTGGTTCTGTGAAATTGAGCTATTCATAAACACCGGTTAATTTAATTCTTGTATTGAACTTGATTATTTTGTATTTGTCCATTTGGTAAGGTAATTTACTGTGCTATAGAAATGCCCCCATCCCCACCCCCTGTAAAGGAATTGTTAATAAGACATCGTTGATCTAAATGGTTGGCTCTAGAACAATGAACCCCCGAGCGTTATAAGGGTTTATTTCAGGAAACATAGATCTAACAAAAGTTACAGAATTGGAGAGGTGCTGCCTGTTTCAACCTCGGGGTTTGGGTTTGCGAATTGATAAATTCACAAATTTATTTGCTTAAGCGACATTTAGTGACCGACAGTCTGAGAATAACACATGGCACAAGAGTAATACAGGTTACTTATGGCATGTGTTCATCCATAGTTCTTTTCGCGGTTGATCTACAGCGAATCTGACGGGAACTGGGCCCTTATTCACGAAAACTTAAACTAAGATACAATCGAAATTTTAAGAAATACTGCAATTCGATTGGCTGACCAGTAAAAACAATTTGCATATATCCAATTTGCATATTGGTCAGCCAATCGAATTGCAGTATTTCTTAAAATTTCGATTGTATCTTAGTTTAAGTTTTCGTGAATAAGGGCCCAGGGTCTAGTCGTTCGGGTCACGAGGTCCCGTGTACACGTCGATGTACACGTAAAAGAAACCTTGACAGTTGGGATTTGATGAGGCGGAAATGGCGCATACCGGGTAAATTTCCCTCGTAGCAAACAGTGTGGCCGGTGGATATCTTCAAACTTGTATTTGGTGTTTTAGTTCAAAATCGTAAATTCGCGATTTGCGATGGAACAATTCAGAATGTCCCAAATTCTTTTCATTGAGAGCGAACGAACAATCCCAATCAGTTTTACATGTATGGCGACATTTTCTCCTATTGCAATCATGGGTTTTAGACGTGAATCAGAGGAAACAAATTCTCAGTTTTGGGAAGTGGGGCTTCCTGCAGTATTCCTACCAAGTTTCCAAACATTGTATTACATTCTGGTCGCAGGCATCAAAAGCCAGACGTAAAGGAGTCATAATTCCGTTCACTATTCCAGATAAACAACTCCATCAAGTATTCAAAAATTTCATTAAGGCCTTTTGTGCCATTCATAGAAAAACAAATGAGCACTTAAAGTGTTGTGTTGATGAACTAGCTAAATGCGTTTGGAGCACTTTCCAGAAAAAGTAAAATCCTCAACGGGAATATTTGATCGCGAATTGTGACGAAAATATTGAATTTTACAGTAAAATGTAAAACATGCATACACACACCATCTTCAGATTAAAATAATTATATAATAATATTTAATAAGAAATGTTAAATTGTACATAGGAAACGTACTTATGCTTAAATCCAGAAGATGCTGTGAACATAGCAAGAGCGCCGACAACCGCCGAAATTACGGACACGTCTCTTTTTACAGGCCAGGCGGGGTTTGTTGGGATGGAGGGGAAGGGGTGGGTGGGCTAGGAGGTACTTTTGCCCCCCCCCCCCATCCAATAATTTTGCTGCAAGTACTCCTTTCTCCAGGTTATTGCACACAAGTAATTATGCGGTTAGATACAACGACGCCTGATTTTAACATAGAAGTGACACTTCTAGACTTTCTTCAGAAGAACCCCCGGCTATGCTCTATACTGATCCCTTGGTTGAGAGACCCCCAGTTGCGAGGGTCACGATAAGTTAACTGGACAGCCGATCTTTATTTCAACCCCATCTCACTTCCGTTGTATCTATGACAGATTAGGTAATTAAAAAAACAAACGACGGGATAGACTTTTTCTCACGCCCTTTCCTTGTGCCCCTTATCCATCAAATAATTCACTGCTATTGGTTATGACCAGTTGAAACATACGGCTGCCATGCCAGATACGACAATATTTTGCAGGAAATGTATGGGGAAGAGGTAAAATCAATAGGGCTTATCCTTTTAGTCCGGTGGCTGAAGGGGGGGGGGGGAATCGCCACCCGAGCTGTGAATTTATGAGACCAAGTTTTTCTAGACCAGTTTTTTGCGTAGATTCCTAATCTGGGTGGTGATCAGGCGTTTGAGGGAGGGGGGGGGGGCTGTATAAAGATTAAGATTGTGGCCTCAAGAGTGTCCACAAATTTGGTATTATTATGCATTCATAAACCTATAACGGTAAATATCTTTGATCTTTGTGGGTATATTCCATGCCCGGAATAACTTGCGGTCTGAAAGTCGGGGGGGGGGGGGGCAGCTTTGAAGAAATACTTCAGAAAAAAAACTCTCGAAAGACAAAAACCTCAACCTGCCGGACTCGGTTTTTCTTTTTCTCGGGTTATTGTTTTAGTCTTTCTTTCCCCAGCATAACCTCAGTCTCGCGCTTTATCCTACACATATTTGTCAAGCTCAGTACGTATCACGGGAAACCACCACTGACTGTGTTTGCATGATAAGGGATTTAGAAAAGAAATAAAACTCCACCTTATTTCTGAGTAATTTTATTTGCCGGAATTCACTTAGAAAGCGTTTCTGGCGATCTAGACCCCAAGGAGCTTCCGGGGCCTAGGCCGCCCCTGGACCCTCGCCTAAAGTTCTAGCTAGGTAGGATGGTGGTCACCCCCACCCCACACACCCCCACAATCAAGAATTGCTTCCGCCGGCTCTGCTCTGTTTTAAGATTTGTACCGATGGAGCCTTTCAGATGCGTAGTTAAGTTAAATCACAAATCAACAAGTTGAAATCGTGGACAAGTACAAGAAAATATAAAGAAAATAATATGACCCTATTTTAGCTTCCTACATCGCGGTTTACTATCAACACCCGAATGCAGGCAGGGTTGTTTTGTGTCTGGTTGATCGCGAGTTAATGATTTTCCGGTCGGACTCCAATCCGAAATCGAGTTATCTGCAAAACGTAAACAAACAAGCAAGCAGCCAAAAATAACCTGTTGGGGAAGCTTGACATTGCTCGTCCATCGCGTTGTTGATCAAATTGCATTACCAGGTCTCATTTTGACGAAATGGCAAGTAAGGCAAAGAAAGCAAAAACCGTTCTACCCGAATGTCCGTACGGTGCGAAATGCTACCGAAAAAATCCACAACACCATAAAGATTTTTCTCACAATTTACCAGGTTTAGACGACGCACCTAGTACTAGTAGTAGTACAGGTGATGGAGTAGCCAGATTGAGCACTTCACTCAGTTCGTCAGCTTTAACACCTTGCAAATATGGTGCAAAGTGTTACAGAAAAAATTTGATGCACTTTGCTGAGTTCTCACATCCAACCAAAAAAGATGATGATGGGTCAGATCATAGTGGCAGTGATACAGATGTCATGGAAGATGATGAAGATGAAGTAGGTTTTCAAAGAGTAAAAATGTTATATTAATCTTGTATATTCATTGCAAGTGTTAGAGTTTAGGGCAGGGCACAAACCCATGGTTTTTAACTTCTGACATATCACATGCAATATATAATGCATAAACCACAAATAGTTCTTCAATTAGTTCTGATTACATTTTGATTGTGTACACTAGATGGTTGGAAGATATTATTAATATGATAACGCAAGAACTAACTTCTTTTCAAACGCTAAATCACTGATTCACTCAATGAACTGTATTTGAATTTCGAAGCCCTTGATCTATGTTCTGGTGAGCTTATCTTAGTCTGCCTGGAATTGGCAACATGGGGATAGAAAGGCAGCATAATGACTTCAAGTACTGTGTGGCGTGCCTAGTGAGGAACAACATCTAGTTGTTCAGATTTGACCCCCACAAAAAAGGGAAAATTTTGCTCATGTCACACTGCATTGGCAAATGCCAGCCTTCATTCCTGTCGGTGTAGGAAAGTATATAGGTTCTTAAACCTTACCCCATTTCATTTTATTTCAAGATTGTAATTTTATTGCCTTTCCTACTTTTCAGAAGAAAGACGAGAAGAAAAATGGTGATATATTGAGTCGTGGTATGTCCTTGGTCAAAAGTTATTCGCAAATGTCAGAATCGGAAAGAAAAGAATTAATCAAAAAAGCTTTTGAAGCTAAGAAACAACTTCAGGAAGAACTGGAGGCGACCAAAAAAAAAGTTGTTGAGAAAGAAAAAGAAGTTGAAAATCTTCAGTCCCAGGTATTTGAAATACTTTAATGATGAACAATTGTAGATTTTTAAAGTATTTTGTCTAGTCCATCTCAAATGTCAGTGGCAGGGCATAATTGAATAAAGGGAGGTAACTACAATTTCTGATTGGATTGAACCCTTTCTACCACATTTGGAGCAGCAGGTGACGAGGTTCACCATGGAAATCATGAGATACACAAACTGGAAGTAGCATACTAGTAAACATTCAACTATCTGCTCTAAATTTCAATGTAACCATAACTATGTTATATCCTTTCATCTTTAAATCATGAATATTCACTTTCAAATCCTTTCTGCACAAAATAGTCAACAAAAATCGCCAGGCAAAAGGGGGAAAATGGGAAAGGGAATGAAAGTCTAAAATAGAACATGATTACATTCCTAGGTTACAAGATGTGGGTATTTAATGGTTAACAGCTGTATTGCATATAATCCTATGATAGAATCCTGTTTTTGTATTTTATTAGAAGATGATATAGTGGCACTGGCATGCAGAGGGTATTCATTTCGGGGTTGAGGAGGGGGGCATCCAATGAAAGAGTGAAATTAATTAAGTTTTTATTTTAAATTTGAAATTTATCACTTTCAACTTTGTTGTACTTCTACTTAGTTTGAATAAAAAGGTTTTTTTATCTATTTTGACATAGATTTAAAATGTCTTCCTTTGTGGAATTCCTAATTACTAGGCCCAATACTTGTGTCTTTGGGAGGGTTTGGTGGGTGTACAATCCACCATTTACGCATGTGTTGTTTTTTTATGTAGGTAAATACAGGACTGCTATTAGTAGAAGGAGAAGAAGAAGCATTAAAGGGAGATAAGATGAAAATCTTTACATTGGAAGCTGAGAGAGCATATAAAGAAGGATCAGCTGCTCAGATTCACTTTCGTTTAGCCGAGTCACAGTTTTATCGCCTTTTGAGTGGAACAGCTTCAAGGTTAGTACAGTTAGATAAGTAGTTTTGACTGCATCATTTAGAAACTACTAGTTAATGTGATTAGTAATTACTTTTCACATATAGTTAGTAAATGATACACTCAATACTAAACACTTGTTAACTATATACAGTTATCTTAAAAGCTAAATGGCTGGATTGTTTTTAAAATATATGGACATGTACATTTTCATCAGTTTATTTTTGGGACTTCCAAAGAAAACTGCCTGCTTTAACAAAATATGGCAGCAGCTTATTTCAAATTTTTGAAAAGAGCACTTCAAATGATTTCTTTATTTTAATTTCAGAATAACTAAAGTAGAATATGTGGTTAATCCAGAATTAGTAAAACGTTTTAAGTGGGTATTAACAGTTCTCATTATGTCTTTACTTATATTTTTTTCTTTGTAATAGACAGTGCAATACAACCTAATGGATAACCACCAATGGTAAAACCTATGACATTGATATTTTATGGAAAAAATTAAGTGCCAAAAGTACCCTAACTGATTACTCTACATGTGCACACATGTGATGCGTATGGCAACTCATATCAGGACAGGGGTGTAGAAGGCATAAAATAATACCCACTCCCATTTACAATGCTTGTCATCACTTGGAAGAAACACATTTTCTGTTGCTCACTTACTTTGTAACAGTATTAAAAACTTACTGTCGCTTACACGGCCACAATATGTATGCATGTAAACTAAACAGCCCATCAATATCTTCAGGTGTTTGGTGTCAGGTTTAAAGTGGATTTTTATAAACACATATATACTAATGTTGTATACAGTCCCTGTCTGCACATGTCCACTGTCCTTACCAGAACCGGCCTGCAGACTACAAGTTTTTCCATCAAATGTTATTCAGATATTCCATTCTGTTGAAATCCTATTTTTTAGGACTGTTTTTGTTGCATTTTTAGAGAAACTGTAAATATATCAAAACAATATTATTTCCTATATCGGTGTGTTTATTCCAATAAATATTAGTTGATTTCACTGAAATAATATTAGTAAATACTTCATTAAAGACAGAAAATATATCAAATTCCTTTACTTGTAACTAATATGGGATGACAAAGACTAAACTAAGAAATTAGTTTGAATTGCCTTGAATATTTTTAACACTACATACTATGTACTTCAGAAAAGCCCGTGAGGATCTGAAAAAGTCTAGAGGAGAGGATTTCAGCTATCCAGTTCTGGCATTTCATGGAACTCAAGAGAAGAATATTACACCTATTTGTGAAAAAGGTTTCAAATCCCCAGGTAAATGGATTTGACAATAAGTCCACAATTTAATAGTATATTTCAAAACAATAAGTTTAAAGACCCACATTGATTTCTTTATAGTAAGATAAAATACACCATATCAATTCAGAGAGTCTCCGGATGAAGTACAGAGTTCCTTCAGTACATGTCTAAACTGAGATGTGAATTATACTAATATATAAAATTCATATTTTTTGACATTGTCAGAAATTATATATACTATTCAAAAAAAGTAGGGGATATTTGATTTTGGGGGCATAATACTAAAATATGCAAATGACTACGAAAAAAGTCACTATAGAACCTAACAGAAGAAACATTTCCAGTTACATGTGACGCCCAAACGCACCAATAGCTACCGCATGGAATGCAGGTGATGCTTGGGATCATCATGGGGGTCCAACCCAAGATTTGCACGACTCTGACTTTGAATGTTACAGTCATTGTGGCATTGAATTCCAGGGTGGAAACATCAGTTTAATTGTTTTAGTGACCAGAAAACAAATTTTGATATGCGTCGGCTTACCCAAAATGAAAGGTTACGTGCCCTTGGCATGCTACAGATCGGCACAACACAGGCGGTTGTGGCGCAGACGATGAATGTTTCTCAGTCTGTCATAAGCAGGCTATGGTCCAGATACCGTGATACACAATCTGTACAGGACAGTCCACGCTCAGGTCGACCAAGGGCGACAACTCAAGCCCAGGATCGATTTATCCGTACCTTGGCCTTGAGAAATCGTGTATCACAGCAAATCAGATCAGCGCTCGTCTTCAAACAGACACTGGTGTGAGAGTGAGTGGCCAGACGATTCGGAATCGACTGCATAGGGGTCACCTTCGCGCCCGACGTCCTCGCGTGATCCCTTGTTTGAGAGATCATCACATTCAGGCAAGACGTCGTTGGTGTAGGGATCGTCAACACTGGGATAATCGACGCTGGAGCAATGTGATGTTTTCAGATGAGTCAAGGTTCACTGTTGATTTTTTGGACAGACGTAGGAGGGTGTGGCGTCGTCGAAACGAGCGCTTCCAAGACGTTAACGTCATCAGACATGATCGATTTTGGGGTGGTTCTGTTATGGTGTGGGGAGGCATCACTGTTGCTGGAAGAACGGCTTTACATGTTGTTGCAGGGCGTGTTACAGGCCAGTACTACCGGGACAACATCTTGGCAGTCCATGTTGTGCCGTTCGCACGACGTCATGGCCGCCGTTTCATCTTCCAGGATGACAACGCAAGATGTCACAGGGCCAGGATCGTTACAGGTTACCTCCAACAACAGAACATCACCACATTACCTTGGCCAGCACTGAGTCCCGACCTCTCCCCCATCGAGCATGTCTGGGACATGCTTGGACAGAGGTTACGTCAACGTCAACAACGTCCTGCCAATGTCCAAGAACTTGCTGCTGCGTTGCAACAGGAATGGGACAATCTGGACCAAAATGACCTTAGACGTCTCATTAGGAGTATGCCACGTTGGATCAATGCTTGTTTGGCAAACAGAGGAGGATTTACCCGTTACTGACTTGGTTGTGATGCTGTGGTAACTTTGCTGTTTGACCCCGGGTATCATTTTACCCTTATAATGGTCAGTCTGTGCCTTACTTAGTCTAACGATCATTTGGAATAAATCGATGAATGTGAACTTCATTTCATTTTGTCATTTGTTTCTTCGTCAGTTTCATTAGGTGACTTTAATAACACTTAAAAATCAAATATCCCCTACTTTTTTTGAATAGTATATGAATATCGACATATATAAGAGACAATCGAGAGGAATTCCATCACAACAACAAAAAAAACCTATATCAATGGAATCCCCCACCCTATTTAAATACTTTTATCAAAAAATTTCACTTGACATTCTAGTTACTAAAGATTCTACTCTTTATACATCTAGTTGCTATAGTTTCTACTCTTTTATACATCTAGTTGCTATAGTTTCTACTCTTTATACATTTAGTAACTATAGTTTCTGCTCTTTCTGAGGTAATGAATTAACATAAGGTTTTGCATTATTTGCAATAAGAATTATATTCTGAATGCCCGTCTTCATTATCCAGGGTGGTGGAAATAAGTACAGTGTTCAATCCCATTTTATTAAACAGTCCATATAAACATAACTTTAGATGTGTATGCAAACTGATTCCTTTTTTTTTAAATAGTTAATTTATTTAAAATTTCTAAATCTTGATAAAGAGATTAGACTGAAAAAAAGCTATATTTTTTTAGCAAAATTTATTAATTTTCTATCTTTTACATAATTTTTATTATATCGATCAATATTTTTATTTATCAAATAGGTGAATCAGGGTTTAAAATGAGAACTGATACTGGCTGGTATGGTGCTGGAGTATATTTTAGTGAATATCCAGCTTATTCTATGGGTTATATTCAAGGTGCTACTAAATTATTATTATGTCAAGTATTACCAGGAAAGGTACAGTATTACTTTTCAGTATTACTAGTTTAACTAGTTTTATAGCAAAATGCCCCTATTTACTTTGATCTTAATAGCCAGAAAAATATAAAATATAGACCTCAGATGTTTATTAAACCTGTTATAAATGAAATAACAGTTAAACAAGTAGATTGGTACCATTTGCAGGCAGTGATCATGCGATTGATATGGCACCAGTCATCTTGAAATTAACAAATTAATGGTCATTCCCATCTTTATAAGCCCATGTGGTCGTATATTGTTGTCGCCCCCGTCTGTTCGGCCGGACAAGCAATATCCGATTGACTTTAAATTTATACACAGTGTTTAAGGCCATGAGACAAAGAAGCCTATTGATTTTCAGCGATTTTCGATAATTACTGCCAGAGTTATAGCCCTTGATCACTTCAAAAAATCTTGTGGACACTTTGGAGGCTAAACTTAGTATCCGATTGACTTTAAATTTATACACAGTGTTTAAGGTCATGAGGTGAAGAAGCCTATTGATTTTCAGCGATTTTCGATAATTACTGTCAGAGTTATGGCCCTTGATCACTTTGAAAAATCTTGTGATGCTCTAGAGGCTCAAGTTATCATCCAATTGACTTCAGATTGAGACGAACAAGTATATTGATTTTCAATGAATTTTTATGACTTGAACAGCTAAATCCATGATATTAAAAGTTTTGTATACTAAACGTTAGCATGGGGCAGAACTTTATAAAACCAAACAAATTCTAATGGTTTTCTGATAATTACTTCATAAGTTGTTACTCTTAATCAGATTTTAGTGTATTATAAATGTTTCATTACCGATAAAATTAAAAATATCCAACAACACTTGTTGACTGCCTGGACGATTAAGCTGCTGTGGGCGTATGTTTCGTTGCCTGGCAACCTATCTTAGAATTGGCCAGGATAGCAGCGTTCAGTGTTCTTTTACCATGTGAATATGCACAATTTCCATGTCCGTCCCGCTGGTGTCACCTGTGACCAGACTTGAAAAATCACAATATAGAAGACAGCAAAAGATTAAAAATCTCTCAAATGACAATCAGAGACATTAAAGGAGCTAAATCTCTATTCTTTTGGCACCTAGAAATGAACACAAATGGGTCACAACACATATAATCTAATATGAATGTATATAAACTGATTTACATTTAATCGTTTCTGTTTTTACTGTTATGTTCGGTGAAATATGTTTGTTTAGCCACGTTCAACAATTCGCATCATTACAAATGGTGCTTGAAAGCATTCTGGCACTCAATTCGTGTGCCAATTTTTAATTTCATTTTGTCTTAGATATTAGATATCAGAAGCCCATCTTTTCATGGTAAGATAACACCATCAATGTTGATTTAAATTGATCAGTAAGTCGTAATTGCAAGGTCGAAAACTGTGGATGATATTTAGTTAGCGACTTGGCTCCTTTAAAGGAATAAGTAAATTCTACAACTGCTATCGTGTCATCTCTATTTTATTATTGTATTGTTTGAATGGTTGTGATTTTTTGTGCAGTTTTCCTACATTGACTACTTTAATGTGGTTTTTTTTCTAGGCATTCCAGTGTACCAAACTAATTCATGGTTCTAATCTCCAGAAGGGATATGATTCTCACACATCTCCGTGTAAAAAAGAATTAGTCATATTTAATAGTCATCGTATACTGCCTAGTTATATTGTTCATTATGCAAATTCTTCTCATGGAGCAGACTTTAAATACACTGTAGGTATATCTTATATAAATTTGCCATGGGCACTTGAAGGGATTAGACCATATCTAGTCTAGTTTACTACAGTGCACTCTGTCACATCCGATCTCTGATCACTCCGGATCTCTGTTACATCCGACACCATTTTCATGTCCCGATTTATTTCCTTATTACTTCAGCCAAAAAATCTCTGTCACATTCGACCTCTGTACTTCCCGGATTACGACATCCACGAATTTTCTCCCGAATTCATAGTCGTAAAAATATTCCAATCACCTGTTGGAAACATTCGTTGCGCATGCCGATTGAACCTGAATAACCTATTTTTGGTCACCCTACGGATCTCTTCGACTGGTGATGCTCGATTCACAGTCCGGGAACGTCCCAAATTGACAGAATTGCAATCGAGTGACAGAGGTGGTGTGAGTAGAATTGTGACGTAATTAAACTCGACGAACAGGTTTCGGCTGCATGGTTGGATGAGATATTTATATATCCAGTCGACGCATGCGTTGTAGCCCGATTGTCATTATTTTTGGGATTGAGAGAATTGAATTCCGGAACGTTCAATTGAGTTCGCCCATTATCAATGAACACGTGATAGCAAAGACAAGAGTGCGATGAACTGAAGACGGTAAAGAAGATAAATTAACGACAGACCTGACCTATTCAAAATGCCTACGCATGTTAAATGAAATAAAAATTAATGTAATAAAATTTTGAATGTACAGAAAGGTTTATCGTTTTAAAGGGAATAACATTCTGGTGATTCAGAGCTACATTATAATAATACTTCCGGTTTTACTAAGTTACAATATTTCCCGTTTTGAGAAAACTGGGTATTCCGACGCTCTGCGTGATCCGACATATTGTAACGATGTCGGATGTGACAGAGTCCACTGTATTATAGAGATGAGGTATATCACCTGCCATTTTGTCTTGTCTTGTTGATGTTTATAGTAGACAAGACTTTATTTAGTTCTTATATAGCCCACAATATTACTAAATAAAATGACCAATTTAGTTACATTGGAAGCAGCATAAAATCTTGTTGGTACTAATTATTAAAAGTAGTGACAGAAAGTGTTATAAGTCGTGAGTAGCATGTAATGATCAATAACAAAATCTTTCACTGAGTTAAAAAAAAAAAAAAAAAAAGCGTGTGATATACTTTGTCCATAGCTAGTGTAGATAATATAATATGTAATAACAGACCAAATGCCATTAGTTGTAACTGACATTGAATAACGAATACCAAAATTTCAGTTTGAATATCGAATACTAAAAGTTATAAGTTTGAATAACAAATACTAAAAATTAAGCTCAGATGGCCTAAGAAAACTATTTGAATTCAAATATTGTGAATTCAATAACAATAAAGATGGCACTGTGAAATCAATGGAGCCTGTATGACTGATCAGCTAAAATAGTGTAGTTATAACTGAGTGATAATCACTATGAGAGAACGACCAGAACATGAAACAACTAATATATATTATTAGACAGCCAGTAAAAGTATGAGACAACTAATAAAATATGAGACAACTAGTAGAACATGAAACAACCAATAAAATATAATACATCTGAATGAGATATTCAATAAAATATGAAACATCCAAATGAGAATCAAATAGAATGTGAGATAACTAATGAAAAAAGTCCGTGATCACACATGATTTTCTGTTACGTATATGATTGAGGTGTGTGATAAACTTAATCAATGTAAACATTATGTTTAAATGAATATTTTACATTATTCACAAGTTATTCGTCTTGTTTTATTTATGAAATAGAAAATGAAATGAAATGAAATGGGGTTTAACGTCCTACTGTTCTGCTAATGAAGATGGGCATACGCCATACAGTGTGCTATGAGGGAAATTTTGCCCGGGCAGCGGCACTATTGCCTACTCTTATATCGAATTCCAACTGCCAAGGGATCTTTTACGTGCATTCTAATGTATACACGGGACCTCGATTTTCAGTATCATGCGAAGGACTAGACAGCTGTCCTTGTCAGGCCCTCCGTTCATTTATGAAACAATATAAATAGGTAGGTCCCTTAACACATTGTAATAGCTTATATAGATCATGTATCTACTATGTAATCAAGTATCTTGTTTTTTGTACACGGAAAAATGTTTAGAGCTATTCAGTTTAAAATTACCTAGATGTAATAATTGAATTCTATTGAAATATACTCCACATGTTTAACATATTCATATTTTGTTGGTTGTGTGGTCTATACATAGTTGTCTTTTGACCCACTCTGTAATCTTAATTTGATTGTCGACCTACTATTGTCATATTTATTAATTTTGTTATTTTATGTTTTTTTTAATTTCAGTCAACAGGTGATTCTGATATAACAGTTGACGAAAAATTTAAAAAGGCTCAGTTAGCTCCAAGTTCAAAGTAAGTTATAAATTATAGGAGAAACAAGTTATAAATTATATATGGGAAACAATTTGTAAATTGTAAGAAAAACAAGTTATAAATTGTAGGAAAAATAAGTTATAAATAATAAGTAATAAGGGAAACAAGTTATAAATTATAGGGAAAAAAATGTTATAAATGATATGGGAAACAAATTGTGAATTGTAGGAGAAACAAGTTATAAATTATAGGGTAAACAAGTTTTTAAATTATAGAGGGAACAAGTTATAAATTATAGAAGAAACATGTTATAGATAATAGAGGAAACAATATATATATATATATATATATAGACACAACCAGTCATAATTTATAGGAGAAACAAGTTGTAAATTATAGGGTAAATAGGTTATAGATTATAGAGGAAATAAGTTATATATTATAAAGGAAGCATATTATAGATTATGGAGGAAACAAGTTATATATTATGAGAGAAGCAAGTTATAAATTATAGAGGAAACGTGTTATAAATTATAGCAGAAACAAGTTGTAACGTATAGGGTAAATAGTTTATAGATTATAGAGGAAACAAGATATAAATTATAAAGGAAACAAATTATAGTCGATAGAGGAAACAAGTTATATATTATGGGAGAAGCAATTTATATATTATAACAGAAACAAGTTATAAATTATAGGGTAAACAGGTTATATTTTATAGAGGAAACAACTTATAGATTATAAAGGAAACATGTTATAGATTATAGAGGAAACAAGTTATAAATCATAGAGGAAACATGATATATATTATAGAAGAAACATGTTATAGATAAAAGAGAGAACAAGTTATATATTATAGCAGAAACAAGTTATATATTATAGGAGATACAAGTGATAAATGATTGGAGAAACAAGTTATAAAATATGGGAGAAACAGTTTTTAAATTATAGGAGAAAAAAGTTATAAATTATAGGGAGAACAAGTTATAAATTATAGGAGAACCAAGTTATAAATTATAGGAGAACCAAGTTATAAATTATATGGGAAACGAGCTATAGATTGTAGCAGAAACAAGATATAAATTATATGGGGAACATGTTATAAATTATATTCTGCTTCTTAGTTTTACCTTAATTATATTTATGCAGCATATTTAAAGGTGAGAAGATTATTTTCTCTGGCAAGTTTTCTTGCAAACAGGCGGATATGTTGAAATTGGTACAAAACCATGGGGCAGCAGGAAAAGGTAAAACATTTTTTATTGCACAGCGTATATGTAGCTTTTAATATATTTTGAACTCAGTTGATAATAGCAAGTTGTAGATAACAAAATATATCAGTTATCCATGAGCACTAACCTTACATTCTACCTTTGGAGTGATGTTGTGCATGAGGCAGGCTATGCTTACTATTATTAGAACATCAGATAACAATTTATATTGTACACTTGTACTCTGTACGTATATTCTTTTTCAGCCACACTGTCTAATTTTACCATGCTGGTTACAACAAAGGATGAACTTGAAAATTATACCAAAAAAGTAGAAGAGGCAATAGAAAATGACGTAATGATCTATTTTAGTTTTATTCACACTCTCACTAGGAAAATAAATTCCATCATATTTCATAATGTCTTTACGAGGGCTGACTGAAAATATTTATTGTGTCTAAATCCAATAGTTTTGTAGATATTCACAATTTTTGATCGACAGCCGCCATCTTGGATTTGAACCCCCCACTTCCCCCACCCCCCCACCCCCCTGTCCTTATTTGGACTCTAATTTTGGTAAACTTTCTTTTGCTTACTTACGACATAATGGGTCAATAGAAATTAAAAAAAACCTTTGCTGCAATTTGTTCCACGTGAAATGTTAGTTTGACCAGCCAACTAGGCTATTCCACATATGAGTTCCCTCCCAATCCCCACCCTCACGACTATTATACACTGTGGTCGGTAATCCCCTGGAACTTGCCAAGCCTATAGGTTGTTCGTAGATTCTATCATGTGATCTGTCAGGATAGTTACTGTGTTATGTTGTAATTAAATCTTTCTTTATTTTACAGGTGGATCTATTATCAGAAGAATATATTTATGACTGTATATTAAAGAAAAAAATTGTAGAAGTAGAGGATCATCACTACATAGAATAAATAAAGTACCACTTTCATATATTATCTAAAATGTTTTTATCAAATTTATTGAATTGGACAGACTGAAGCTTTTTGTTTTCTATATGATAGTCCTATAGAAGCATCCAATATTATAGTTATTTTACATAAAAGATATGCAAGTATCATATTTGATATGTTAGGTTTAGGACGTGGAAGTACCAAATCTGATATGGTTATATTACATGAGATGTGTTACTTTTCATTTGTATCTTAAAAATAAACTTTTTGTTACTTTTCATTTGTTATGAGAATCTAAAATATATTTTTACTGCTGTGAATGATGCTTGGATGCTCAGTGTCTCTTTTATGGTAAATTATATGAGTTTGGTTTTGTTATTGTTATAAGACAAGGATAACTATAGGAACCAGACACTATATTTGACCTAAAAATGACAGGACATGTCCGAAAACTGTCTTAAATGTCAAGCGAGGTTATCATGATTCAGGATGACAATACTGGATGCATGACCACAAGGGATATCATTTATCTAAACGCAATATCCTCTACAGCATTAGAAAGTTGGCGTTAGAAACAGGATAGATTTGTGATTAAGAATAAGGGGCATATTACACAAAATATTTATCGGCATTTTATTATTTTACTATTGTATATAGTTTTGATATGTCATAGTAGCATTTATATCGCATTTTTATTTTCATGTGGTTTTTTTTTATTCATCGTTTAAAAATGTACATAATATACAGATGCCATTTTACTCACATGTGCTAGTAACATTTATTCAAAAAAAGAGAATTTCTAATAAATTTTTCATTGGTTGTTACTCTTGATCAGTTTTTAGTGTCTCGGAAATACTCCTGTTTACTACAAAAGATTAAATATTTGACAACTTTAATGGACATGATTTTAATATTATTATATATCATTAAAGTAATATGATATTAATTTTATTTTATTATTAGTAAAAGTAACATGATTTAAATATTATTTTGTTATTATTTCATAAAAATAACATATGTATGTATTTGTCAGAACATTTTGAAAAGGGAGAAGAATTTTCCTGTTATTGTTTGTGACTGTTGAGTTTCTTTATAATTTTATTATTTGTACCTTTTTTTTTTCTTCTTTTTTTTTCATAAAATTCCTGAAAAAGAGATTGGTGAAACCATTCTTTGTATACATTTTGTAATTGTTTATATGTAATTCATTTACATGCATATATTTATATATAATGGTTGTGTTAGTCAGAATAGTTCAAGGTATACGATTACCATTTTTATACCCCCATGTTTTCATGTGGATGTATTATGTTGTTGCCCCTGTCCATCCATGAGTGTGCGATCATATTTGTTTGTGGATTTTCTGCTGGTCACAATTTTTATCTGATTCTGATGTTTGTATCTAATAGATCTTACAATATAGGTTTACATTTGATGAGTACGATTTTGGCAGATCCTTGACTATTGCCTCTGATTGCATAAAAATCCCATTTTTAGAGGTCACAATTTTTATTCAAATTTATATGCAGTTGAAACATATTTGAATTACACAATGAGATTGAATTGAGTTACCCTCTTTTCCGAAAACCCTCTGAACGCAATAGAAGCAATACAGATTTAACAGAGTTTTTCCTAATTTGATTTGAAGCATTTGAACAATGAAATAAAATCTAATGGGGTTTAACGTCTTACTCATTTGGACAATAAGTGGATGAGCCCTATTGATTTTGCCTGATATCTGTCCATCTATTGCAAACTGTGGGCGTATCTTGCATGGCAACTGCTTGTTAAGCATCTTAGTGATTTATATATTTACCGGGTATCGGTAGTGTTAGAATTGTTTACGTGATTCAATTAACATTTATAAGCATCTTTAGTGAGTTAGACAGAATTGTTTATGTAGTGATGTGATTGAGGATTATGTGTTATATCATATATTTTATGTTATAAATATTCACCCAGTCAATTACTGAATTAAGTAACAGCAAAACCAGATCATTAGGAAGTGTGTGGTACATAACTTTGCCTTTTTAAAAAGAATATAAAATATTTGAATGGTTGTCAGATACGTCAGTGTTATAACATAGTTGTGTTTTAAAAATCGTAAATATGATTGTAAATTTACATGCGCAACCAAATCTTGATATAATTTGCATGACGTAAAAATCAACGATAACCACAACAACTGTTGACTGGCCAATGAAAGAAGCAGTCGTTTTCAACTGCTAGAAGTCATTTTTAACCATCAGTTGTTCCAGACACTCAGTGACAAAGGACTGGATTAACAGAGTCTTGTAACAGACCCTCACTGACAAAGCTAGAGGACTTGAATAACAAAGTCTTGTTTTGAGATTTTAGTCTTGTAGTCATCATATAAAGTTTTTACCATGCACGTGTATAATGTTAAACATATATATAAATCATTTTTTACAGTTTTTGCTTTTTCTTGATGTATTGCCCATTATTTTGGGATTGATGGGTATAATATTGTGCCGCACATTGTCAGAGTGACACATACTATGATGACCAATCAAGGTTGTCTGGTGTAGTTTAGTATCTGTGTGAGCTTTAGATAATAGATTCTGTCACTGTTGTGGTATCCATCCGCATCCTGTATGTACATGAGCAGTAAAGTTTCCTGTGTCACTTGATGGGTTGTTGACAGTTTCCTCACACTGTTAATAACTTCTGCATGCATGTGAATTATAGATTAAAGATTTATCATCGGTTGGTCCTGAAATGACCTAGTTTAGGTTGAATGGTCATTTAACATAATTTCTCTCTGTCCCCACTTCAATTTCAAAACACCCCACAATTTATTGAAATAAAAATTTACCATGTTAGTTTGTTATTGTAAATGCAGGAGAACCTCACTACACACAAGTAAACAGAAAAACAGAAGACAAACCTGCAGACAAGACACACCAGATAATGTAATAAAATAACCAAGTGAAGGAATCTGAGGCCGGCTGTACTCCAGTACACTGTGCAGTCTCCTTGTCTGCACTGATACTAGAACCTAATGACACTGTCCAGGCAAAATTTCCCTCATTTCAAACTTTATGGTGTAAGCCTGTCTTCATAGGCCCAGTCCGAGCAGAAACGTAAGACGTTGAATCCCATTTCATTCCCACTTCACTTCCTGGTTGTATTCATATACGCCAATCTAAAAATCGTGAAATAGCTTGCATAGTATCAGGTTCTGTTTAAATAATGATAAAGACAGTAATATGTTAAGCTGTTTTTATTCTGAATAAAATATGTATAACGGTAACACAAACTTCAAAAAAATTGTAAAACAAATTTTACTTTAGAGATACCTTTTTTTCCCTACTCTTTTATTCTCTTCCTGAAAATATTTCCTATAACAAAGTCATTTCTCGTTGCACTAGTTACCGGTACACTTTCTGTTTAGCTTTGTTTAAATTATTTCAATTTTTAGCAAGAATTTAAAAGTGTTTTGCATATACAGATTTGAAAAAGTCATGGATACTTGATCAATTTTGAACACCCATACCATATAATTTCAAAAGGTAAAACGATCGTAATTTTAAAATTACCATACAGTCTTTCACTGATAACGAATTAAGTACATAGTTCAAATAAGATCACAGATCTTGTTTATAGCTATCGCCAATGTAGACCATTATCTCTTCTTAAAGAAATGAAGTTTTTGTTTTATTTTCTAGTTGTTTTTTTTTTTAAATATTGATCTAGGTTTATTTAGAAAACAGGTAAAGGTTAGTGCAAGTGTATAATCTGGTAAAATTAATTTAAAATTGATACTTCATTAAATATTACAACAATTAATTAATACAAGACAAATATATATAGAATTTCTAATTATATACAATTCGTGCAATATATATACACATTGAACAAAATGGAATGCACATAACACAATTAATCATGACAAAACTGATTAAAATAACCCATTATACATCCTTTATATGAAATCATATCTCAACACAGCATTGTCCCGATGATACAATCAATTAGAAATATGGTAAGGCCACACCAATTTGAATTCTGTTCTTCAGGAACACCAAATTAAAAAAATCTGCCTCAAATTTCTTCAGGTAAAATATTAATTTAAGAACAAAAAGAACATCATTGCTCTTCTCTAAAGCTTTAGTTCCCATTATTTAACTTTTGAAATTTTAACCAAACATCCCACACAAGAAAGGATGTGGGTTATTTATTTTTGAAGACCCTGAAGAACTAATAGAGAGAAATGGGGTTTAACATCCACTTGACTCAAACTAGGTCATTTTGGGACTAACATATGGATCAATTGTATTTTATTAATTCACTTGCACGTAGGGGTCTTTAGCAATAGGAGGAAACTGAAATACCCAGAGAAAACCCACGAGGATGGACAGGTGACCCTACTCCTTGTCATGTACAAGTGGGTAATCGAAACCACACCACTCGACTCGATGACACACCTTATGATACAACATGTATGCGTTAACCATTCGGCCACCCAACCCCTCCCTGAAGAACTAATAATTAAATTAGTTTGGCCTAAAGCAAATGCTCTTATAACCATACAAATTCCTCTAACAAGAAATAGTTTTCAATTAAAAACTTGTTTCTGATTTCTCTACTACATATAGCTAAAGGTATGCGGCAAGATGGAATATAAAATTTCAAACAATCTAAAACTTATAAAATCGCTAATAATATACACAATATCGTGTATTCAGTCAGTGTGCAGAAAACTGAATACAGTTAATTAACTGTCAATGCATCTCATTACATTTGATATGAAATGTACAAGAATTTGAACAGGTTGATAATTTCTGGTAGAAAAACTTGAAAATCCAATATAGTCTTGCTGAGAATAATGAGTAATTTAACATACATGTTTCATATTCAATTAAAGCCATTTTCAAGAACAACGACTTAGGGGATTCATATACAGCTTAACTTTAAATATTTGTTTAGAAGATTTAATAAAAACCACACATCATAAATATTGACAAATAATTAAAACAGATATTAAGTGTAAGAGAGAGATTATAATTTGAGGTCTGATGATGTTTACGGCACTTTTTATTATAAGAAAAGCTATCAATGATGATTATCATTATTGGGACAGTACAATATTTAATTAAGTGTTACCTGAATTAAAGGTCTGTGTCCAACAAATATCAAGAATTGAAACCACAACTTAAAAAGATATGCCATGTCCACTGAATGCATTATTCCAAGGCTATGACACAACTTTTGCAGATACATTATTTACGTAGTTGTACTGTAGTCATGATACGTATTGATGGACATTAGCCTTTATATACATTACATCTAATACATAACACTTTTAATTAATATTAAAACAATATTCATATATTATATTACAGGAAAGTTGTTTTTATAATATATTTCTGTTAAAAAAGCTTAATCCTTTATCCCATACATTGCACCTTCCATTAATTTCAGATCATATTGATGTTATTACGGTACCCCCCCTCCCCCTCATACTAAACTAAATTCCTGAGCTCCACAATACATAACCGTGGATTTTGATCTATTATGCAGATAGTCTTGATAAATTCACATGAGGATGGCAAGGGGATAAAGGAATAGCTTACATTGCACATCAATAATGGGATAAGCTGATAATCAATGTAGAAGGTTCATAAACGAAAAATATAAATAAATGAGTGTCAAGACTTTGGTGCGCTCCATACACAATGTATGTGTCAAATACAACAATGTTTTGTCATAAATAGTGCAGTCAATATTCATTTGTATAAAACTTCATTGTTTAGAGATTCTAAGAAAAGGTTTTCTTTAAAAAAATAGAAATCTAATTTTGTCATGAGCATTTAAGATTGTATATCAAAAATTAAAAGACTACATCTACATGTAGTTGTTTTGCGAGATTCTATACTACAAACATTTTTATCAAACCAATTTGATTTGTCTATGCATATTTACATAGTCAGGTATTTATTTTATCTTAACAAGTGCTTAAAATTCCAAAACACACAGTACACTAAGCCTTTTGTTTACGCATAAAAATGTTTTCAGCAGTCACATAGACTAAGAAAAGTTAACTTGTATACATGAAACAGGTACGTTATAATCAACGTTTTAAATTTTGATCCACCCCATGAGCATGACCAATTGAGAAAAATTAACCATAAAGACAGTGTCAGATTCAGACATAAACTTTTAGAGCCTCACAAAAGTTTTCCTTTTAAATACTCTTTATAGCTTAGGGTCTTACAAAGTTTAAATCCTGCACTGCACAAAGTGAGTATATTATTAATTGGCATGTACCAGTCCTCAATTCAATTTTAGTTCAAGCTTTTAACAACTACACAAATAGATGTGCCATATTGTCAGCACAGAATTACATATACATATTTACACACAACCTAGAAAATTAAATATAAAAGATATATACTATATAATATATACACACATCACAGAGTTAAACTTCATTATAACATAATACAATTCTACTAGTCTTTAAAAATAACAAGATACAAACATATTTAATTAAAACCATACGACCTTAGAATTGTCAAAAAGGTATAATGTTACATTGTATTTAATGTCGACTATCATAGAGCTATTAATTTGAACAATGAAATTATTAGAGGTTTAACGTCCTACTTTTCTGCAAGGTTAATGCAGATTGGCATATGCCATGCAGTGTATACTATTAGACAAATTTTGAATAGGACAGTGGTGTTTTTGTTTACTCTTCATAAGCGTTCTTTTAAATAAACACCAATCAGTATATAGATACACCTTGGTTTTCTATCACAAGACATCTATCCTCTACCACTGTAAAAGGAAAAACAAGGCAGGAAAATCAGGATAAACACTGTCAAGTGTCAATGTCCGATTGACAGAGTAGCCAGCAATGATTAAATAATCTAATTCCAATTTGTATCAACAGTCCATGGTGAAAATGATGTATACTTTATCCACTGGACAATAATTGTCAAGAATAAAATGTTGAAGACATATATCAGAAATATTATCAAATTTAGTACACGCTCACGAGTCTTTGCTGATCTAGAAATAACCTTGTTGAACTTGGCTTTATAAGTAATATACCCGATAAATAAAAGTTGAATAAAATATTAATAAAAATAAAGTAATAATAAAGTTTAACTCATTTTGATTTTGTAATCATAACAATCTGATAAATGATAACAAGGATAATATGGCAATAAAAAAATTACAAAATAAGATATGTTTAATAACGGGCAACATTAAGTTAACATATACAATCTAATCTTGCTCAATTTATCAACAATTTCACAAGGAACCATAAAGTCTAACAAGAAATTAACTGAAAATAAAGCCACAGCTTACATTTAAATTATATGTAAATATACATTTTCATTGTCTTTAGTGCAATAAACAGACTACTGTATGTAATATAATTTATTGCAGAAGTAATGAGATAATTTACTATGAATAGCACATATGAAGTAAAATGCTCCAAATAGTAATTGCAATTTTTTTTTTCTTCCAATACACTGCCTATTTATTTGTGTTCCAGTGTAAACTAAATGTTGCACAGTCTTTGGATGACTTTTTTCTCCAGCCAGTATAAAATCTAACTTTTTTGATATACTAAAATCATATCTCAAATATTGAATTGAAAAAAGAATTAATTTAAATAATTTTCGTTGTATCGTCAAAAAAATAAATAATTAAATTAAATTCATTTAAATAACAGTGTTCTAAATTGTAACAATACAAAAGTTTACATTTTTTTTTTACCCTAATTAAAGTAAGTACACAAATCAAATGCTATTTAAAGACTTAAGAAGTAAGAATTGATTATTAAAATCAGATCATGTAATGAATGAATGAGTTGTAAAGCATGGACTGTTGAACCTGTTTGTTCTGTAGTGGGTGTATTTGATTGAGACTTATTCCATTGTGGATTCCTTTATATTTACTTTCAAAGAATTCCACATTCGAATGCTGGTAGTTTTCATCCCCATATGTTATATTTACAGAATTATCGTAAAAAAAATTTGATATATTGATTATTGCAATAAAGATCTTCCACATTACATTGTACATAATCAGTCTTTATTTTCACTCTGTCTTTATTTTGGTTGCAGATGAGATAGACTTTTAGTTGATTTTATTCCAATTGTATAAAAACACCATTTCTATCATTTATAAAATTCAATAAAATTAATTCAAACAAAAGCTCAACAAGAGTTTGTGAAAATTATTGGTGACTTCAGACATTTATTTGATGTATTAGTACTGGAATTTTAGGTTTTTTTTGTTTTACAATCACCAAAAGACATTCAAAATTTCATTAGTATGAATATGAAAATTGTTTCTGCTGAAGCACCGCACTTATGACAAACAGTCGTTTTCTCTTGAAAATAGATTTTGTTATATATTGCAATACGTATTGGAATACGCTTGTCTGTACTACAATATGATATCGGGTTCCATATATCTATATATAGACTAACATGTGATAGGATTTGGATAATAAGCAATCAACTTTAGCCATGGTTGAAATAAAAACTAATACCAAATTGGATTCACCTAAATTCACTCCAATCAAATACACCCATCTTTACAAGATGCGAAACATAATTTTTAATCCTTAACGGTTACAAGCAAGCAATCTTTATAAAATTACGCCCAATAAAGTGGAATAAATCAAATATATTTGAAATTTATCTTCAAGGCGCCCTATAAAAACACTATTGGTTTGTTTTTTTTTTGGTTTGAAAACATAATACAATGTAATGTACATTTTACAAACTATCTAGACCATACATATATAACACACAGAGTATCAACAGTAAAAAGTCAGACAATTAATTGAGCATATAGGGGGGATGGTAAAATTAAATTATCAACTTCATGTAATAATTATATATATACATGTACATATGTAGATATCAATTATAATAACAATATTTGACAGGTTGAAAGGTCACAAACGAACAGGATAGAGTGGTACGGAGAAAGATATGAACGAATGAACAATGACAGGAAAATGAACATGGGATTTGGATGTTATAGTTCGCTCCCCTTCGACTATTGGACGCCATAGAAATGATTTACAAAGCTAATATTAAGTACTTCTTCACTATGCAGGGAAATTTAAAGGTTGGTAATACAATTTGGAGCTGGGTAAAATTTGGAAACGTCATAAATTACAAAATAATATTTACATTCAAAGTTTTTGCATGAAGAGTTATCATTCATAGCCATACTAACCTGACATCAAAAATAACTTGAAAATTTGTATTTTCCCTTTTCTGCATTACGATTTTCTTCATTTGTACATATTTCACTTTAAATTTCAATCAAAGTCTAAAAACAGATGAACATTACTTCACTAAAATCTGATTACCTCGAAAAATCAAGTTTGGGAATTAATGTCAATGCTAATGCTTTAAACCAGATCTTTAAGATTCGACGGATTAAATTTTGATACTCAATTGAAGTGTTTCATTGCATAATATTTTGAGATTCTCTTTCACTTGTGATGCATACTGATCTTAACTTCCAACCCTCCTTATATATTTATATACAAAGTAATTAAGAAATAAAGTTGACCATATAGTCAATTAGTAAAAGCATTTTTTAAAAATTTAAATAATAAAATAAAAACAGTTAGGCGGAATTGTTGAGTTTTGTCTTATGCTAAAAACTTGTTATATTATGCAGTTGATTCTACTTGGTACTGTGTCCCGGCCGATGTGGTTTTCTTCCAAAAAGTCATTTTCGCCAGTTTTTCCTTCATTCGACTGGGACGGTTCTGAAGGAGAAAAACATTCCTTACATTAAAAAAAACCCATTGAACTAATTTGAAACCTGTTACAGACACATTAAAAATGTCCTGGGAGAAGGTGCATATTCACAAATACAAGTGAGAAATGAAAAGAAATGGAGTTTAACTTTCTACTTTTTTGAAGCAACTGGGCTATTGAAGACGGAAGTGCAACATACACCGTGCTATTGGGGGAAATTTGGCCCTGACAGTAGCTCTGCAGTCAGCAAATGCTGATCATGTGACGGTACACATGACCACTTGGTCGTACAAACTGGATACGATCAGTTGCCATTTGTGTGTTGGCAACAACTGGTAGTTTTCCAGTCGCAAGTGTGCGTACAATGTACATTGACAAATGACAAACTGGTTGTCCATAGTTGCATCTGTACAGAGTAACTGTATGTATGAACATTGTTTAGATTTATTTATATCTTACTTCAAGTAACCACATGCCAGATGTTGATGTAGGATGTGTGTAGGCATAGAACAGCCAAACTCCCAATGCTATGATTAAAATCAGAATAAATATAATGGCAATAACAGCTGCTACAGGGAATCCTGAAAAATACAAAATAAACTATGATGATTATGAAACAAAACTAACCCAGTGGACTCAATCTGTTGAAAAACCTGTCTTCCATCACAGCATACACAGTCCATGTTATTCATGTTTCCATGACATAATATTTAATACACACTACACATATATTTATACATGTACAATGGAGTACAGTTCATGAAGTATACGATAAATTATACACACATAATATACAAGGAACTTCAGTTGTTTCATTTATGGATGAAATCTAGTGTGAGCTACAGAAATTACGTCCTAGAGATTTCAACATACTGACTAGACACTCAAAAATGAGTTATTTCAGTGGTAAGACCAACAGCATTGGCTATCCAAATTTAATAGAATTTGTTGCCATTGTGATTAAATTGAATCAACTGTAGTTTTTACACTCTTCCTATTTAGTCTATAACATAAATGTATAAAACAAAGAAATTAAATAATCATAGACAAATACTTTCAAATACATACTGCCTAAGGCATTAACATGTAAGTTCCTTGAAGATAAATTAGAGAAAAGTGATATGTTTCATTCAGGTATATCCCTTAGACCGTGATTTATGTCAATAGTTCTACATCAAAGATATTCATGTGACTCAGGTGGTTTGGGCCAGTCTACTATTAATGCTATAGTGAAGCTACACCTATAATCCCTATCAGTGTTATAGTGAAGCTAGCTGCATAATTACTATCATTGTGATAGTGAAGTTACACTGTATAAATGTAGAACTACTATCATTTGCTTGATTACACGGAGAGAACCCTCAACCAAACGTTGCTTTAATTAAAATAGTAATTGTGTTCCATATTATGGTTGTATTTTTACTATCAGTGTTATAGTGAAATCCCAGTAGGCAATATATAATAACTATCCACAAGCACATCATAAATATATCATAAATAAAGAATAAAGAGAACAAATGCTAAATCTTTTAGTTCTTTTCCGATCAAAAGTTATACTACAGTATATTTCACAAAACCCACATATAACAAGTTTTTATAGTAAAATATTGCTATCTTTTATGACATAAGACAATGGCAGATTGAGTTCACACTGACAGTCAATAAAATTGATTGCCTGTAGTTTTTTTGTTTTAAAAATTTAATGACACAGCAGTATGTCACTTGATCTCGATTTAAGATCCTATATTTTTACACCACATACATTCACATTTCACAAGTTATCTTGAGAAACTTTAAACCCAATGTCAACACATTTTATCTACAATTATGCTTCCTGTTTCATGACACTCTATTCCTACACAACGATCCAGTTTCAGAAGAGAAACAGAATTTCAAACACTTCAGACTGATTACAAATACATAATTTATGAAGCTGTACAGCAAGTACATGATTTACCATCATCCAGTTTCGAGAAAAGAAGTTTACATAATTCATAATTATCCGGTTCAACAACACATAAATCTATAAATTGCTGCAATTAACCTTATATACATGAAAAATGAGCTTGCATGTACAAAGAAATGGTTTTGCATTCATATAGCAATTGGTACATGTAAATATTGTCTACCCCAATTCTTGGAAATTTAAAAAAAAATTGAGGACCAGCGATGGGTTAGGGTTAGGGTTAGGTTTTTCCGGTGTTTTCCAGAGGACCAGGCTCCGAGTTACCTATTTAGTGTGTTTTCCGGTATTTAGTGTGTTTTCCTCAATCCACACCCGGTCATGTGACTAGCTCACTCTCTTGTAGGTTCTTGCAGGCATCCAAGCTTAGGTGTTTGGTGCCTTCTGAGCAACACAAGTTTAAGGCAAGCCAAGTGCTAAAATAATATTTGTTTTATTTACGGAGATGAGGAGTCTATATAAATAAATAAGGATAACATCAAGAAAAGCTCACTCACTGGAAAATAAAGAATACAATAAGCAGAGAAAGAAAAATGTGCTAGTTGCAAGAGATAGCCTTAATATATGTATATTAGAACACTCGCCACACATGGCAGTTGATCAGTAAAAAAACTGAGCTCTCAATAGGATTTATATTTCCGTAGTAGTGGGCAGATAAAAATCTCTGGATTTTTCAAAGACCTTGCTTTTCAAGTTTAAGGACTGCAGGGTTAAAAAGTAAAATATTTTAAGTCCACCTGTTTACACACTTGTGGGCAAATTAAGAACCCTTGACAAATGGAATTTGATAAAGAGTAAGTGGAATTACTGTGCCTAGGCAAAATTCTCCAGCCTAGCATTGCGCATAGGGACCATATATTAGTCTCAAAATGTTAAGACTCAAATTACTGTACTGACGAATATTGTGGAGCTTCTTATTTTTCTCAGAGTCCTTGTTTATTGAGTCATTTTAAATCTAACCCATACCTTCTATTTGTTTATCCAATCCAATATACATTGCATATAGATAGACTATTCTACAGATGGATCTAAAATCTATAATGCTTAGATAAGCATTATATGTACGGGTTGATCTAAAGTCTATGTAGAAAATAAGCTTAGATAAGCATTATATGTACAGGTTGATCTAAAGTCTATGTAGAAGATAAGCTAAGATAAGCATTATAAAGGCTAAAGCACATGTAGGTGTCAAAGAAAATAGATTTAGCTTTACTGCATGTGTGAAAGAAAATATATGGATGTCGATTCCACTGAAGATTTTTAACTCAGCCCTGGCACAGCGTTACCCCGGTTGGATCGCCAAATGGCTTACATTTTCAAGCGATTAAGAGCCCTAACAGTCAGCAAGTAATACTATATGACGAACAAAAAAAAAAGCCAGAGAAAAGTTTACCGTTCTGAAACGCATGCCAGTGTTTGTTTGTTTATTTTTTTTCAGATGAAATGTGATTGGTTAATAACATTAGGATGAAAAAAAAACAATAAATCAAAACCTGCAGATGCTGAATCATTGGCTATCACAGTATCGTGGTCACCTGCAGCTCTGGTTGTAAATGTTACTGCTAAACATTATGAAAAAGAGATGATCAGTTTATAATATATATATTGTTATCAAGCTAGTCATTTTTATGTTCAATGCTAGTTCATTTACAAAGTAACTTTAATTTTTTTCAAAAAAGCCATGCATTTATCAGAGAGAGAGAGAAATGGGGTTTAATGTCCAATCGACACAAACTAGGTCATTTCGGGACTAACACATGGTTCAATTTTATTTCAATAATTCGCTTGCGCGTAGGGGTCTTTAGCAGTGGGAGGAAACCAGAGGACCTGGAGAAAACCCACGAGGTTGGACAGGCGACCCTACTCCTTGTCACGTACAACCGGGGAATTGAAACCCCACCAGTTGACTCAATGACAGACCGTATGATAAAGCGCGCACGTGCCTTTATCAGGTCAGGAGCAGATAATGCTTCATGGGTTCATGCATGTGCAAATATGCTTTCAGTCTTAATTATATGGAAATAATGCTTATGTATAATTTAAAGTGATTATATAATATCATCATTAAAAGACTTAAATGACAAATTATATTTTGAAATTAACACATCTAGGTTTGAAGAAAAGGTCATGTGATCTCAAGTTACTATCTAGAATCTTAAAAACATGTTTAATTCTAGACTCAGGACTATATTACCCATATGGAAGACTAGGCTGAAACCTATATGAGCCTGTCAATTTCATTTCTGCTAAGGCACTGTCACCAGCAGACCCTAAAAATGGATATAGAATTATGTACGTACTGCAGCCTCCAGAACCAGCATTTCATCTGTAGTGGGGTAAAACAAAAGTACCGGTACTGGAGGGGGCCTGCTATGGTTTAAAATGGCCTTTACTAAATTACTGTTTAGAAAGTTGTAATGTTAATGATTACCAAAAAAGCATGTGGTAATAAACATATAACAATTTTTTGTTTTAAATGTAACCATTTAGTTTTGAGGCTTTGCATTTCAGTTGCTGGTATTCAGTTTTGAGTATATAATTCAAAAAGATCACCATTGCCACTGGTCACTATTTCAACTGAATCTGAACAATAAAACCTACCTTTTTACCAGATTACAAACCTTATAATAAGACAGTAAAAGGTGAGGATTTAAAATGACACACAGTACTGATATGGTAATAGAAGTATGAAATCAGATAGGTGATGTACACAAAAAATGTAATAATTGTTAACCTTTTTTAGATGAGCTAGTTAACTTTGCTATAACTGTCACCACAGTGCTCTGTGTAGTTGTAAATATCTCTGAATTTCACAAAACCAAAACAATAATTTAGTCACTTCAAGAGGCATTATTATAACTTTCAACAATAAGAAAATACAAGTAAATGGAAATTAATCTTATACACATCTTATTGAGATTAATCCTAGACGAACTCAACTATAGAAATTCTAAGCACAAGCCTATGCTAGAGTAAATCATTTTGAACTGTTATACATGTATCTTGTTCTTGAATCTTAAATTATCCAAATCACATTTGAATATCAGATCTGTCCCAAATTTTCCATGTCATGTTGTAATCAATCATTAAGATGAAGTTGAGAAGAAACGGAAACTTTGAATATAAACTATTTGATTAACAAAACATTCTTAAACTAAAGAGTGTATAACTCTATTCTATGGAACTTTAAAATACTGAATTCTAATTCATGTTTTTAATTTTGAATATTATGGAAAATATTGAGTTTGAGGTTTAGCTCTGTTAACTGCATCAGCATAAATAATTCTGATTTTTGAGGAATGTTAAAATCAATAATGAAATATTCCACCTTTAGTAGATGAAGTTTCTATAGCCTTAGAAGTAGTTGATTGAGGTTTTTCAGTGGTAGTTAACTTAAGTTTTTCAGTGGTTGTCAATTGTACTGTTGGTTTAAATAAAAGAATTAATAAAAATTAATTTATAGAAACGACAAGTTAATAAGTGATTACTAGAATCTATAAAAATACTTTTAGTATATTCGTCAGTTTTCAAAAGGTATTTGTTGATGAAAGTAGCTTTAAGCATGCACATCAAACTTACTCAATTTCAATGTAGATTTGACTAAAGAATATTATGCAACTTATTTAAGGACTTCTATGGATTTCTATGATTAAGTAATTATACGCAATTATAAGCAAGTATAATTTAATTTAAAGACTTTTTTTAGTCCCATATTGGTTATTAGAGTTTAGATTAATTCTAAGTAAATTATCAGTGGCTAATTAGATTTGAAAGTCTGTTTAATATGAGTATATTACAATATAACATTATTTTCTGATTAAATAATTAAGAGAACAAATTAACCTTTGGTAGTTGTACTGGGTATTTGTTTTGTAGTTGACATTGGAACATTTTGAGTCGTTGTTGACATCACTGTTGCATTTATAGAAAATATAGTGTTTTATTATTTAAATTCATATAAGATCCTGAAAGTTTACACTGTATCTATTTGACAACATATATATATATATATATAAATGTAAGTACTTACATGTACTGTAGTTAACAAAAGATAAACTCAATAAATAAATAAATATAATACTTTTGATGTTAAAATTATAAATGAATTCAAGGGTTAAGCACAATTTTTGGTTACCCCATTTACCTCATATTAAATTGATCAGACATGGATTGTGTTAGGCAGAAGATAGTTAATTGTACATATAGAGGGATATTACAACACAACCACCAAAATGATTACCACTACAATATAATTATCAAGTTAGAAAAATAATATGCAATAAAGATCAAGAGTAAGTAAGTCACACAGATACTTTTACAGAATAAATAAAAACATTTAAAAATTCTGAAGACATACAAAAATAATCATCTGGTTCTCTGACAAAATATTTCCTTACACAAAATTAAAACAAAAAAAAATCTTTCAAAAATTATTAAATTTTGTTTCAAGTACTGTTTACATTGTAAATCATGGCAAGCAAGCATCCCTACAAGCATCATAAGAAATATTTCCAAATCAGTCTTTCCATAATTCAAACTTTTAGCAGAAATCCACTTTTAGTCATATAATTGAAACAAAACAAGAAATCATTTTTTACATATATGCAGATTTTCTTCGACCCCCCCCCCCCCCAAATATCTAACTAAATTTATTATAAATGCACTGCTAAAAACAAAATCGTAACTATAAATGCACTCTGTTTAAAAGATAATCTCATATGCATAATTTTACTTCTGACATGGAAATCTCATGCTTCATTCTAAAAGTGGTACAACTGAACTATCTTAAAACACATCAATTCTAGCTATAATATATTTTTGCTTCATTTTTATAATGAAGATTAAAGTCTCCAACAACAGAATCTATCCAATTTCTTATGAATAAGTAGAAACTCGAGAGATTAAAGAATGTTGTCAAGCATCAATACTGTTGTATTAATATATAGCAGTTCTATAATAAGCATGACAGTGATTATTACATGGATTAATGATTAGAAATTCATATTGAATGTAAACAGTTAATATATTACATGTGTATATGGGATTGGTATGCAGATAACATTTTCAAAAAAAGATGAACATTTTCAAAAATGATGAACAGAACCATAAGCACAACATCCCGCCCCCAAATGTTTAACGGCAATGATTATTATACATAATGTCACTATCTGTACTTTTATCAAATATTTATTTGCCTACACATTGTGCACCTTTCATCATTACTCATAGGAAGTCATATTGAGTATATGGCACTAGCTCACTAACCAAGGTCACAGGTTCAATCCTGGTGTTGGCCTAAAAGTACCTTGTAATTTTTCAGCAAAGTCTTCTCTTCAATACAAGACTAACATTCATTTCAGTCGAAGAAGAGCCAAAATAGAGTCTCAATGATCTTGAGCAACAGATGTTAAGATTAAGATTGATTGGATTAAGACTATTTACTACAAGATTGTTTCCAGATAAATCCACATATCAATCTGGATGCAGCAAAATGTTGAGTTTAAACCTTTCAGTGGCATTTAGCGATTGATCACATGAATATCACAATAATGGGTTTATTATACAACTTTCAATAAAACATGTTCTCTTATAGGGCATTTGGACTTGAAAAACAGTAAGAGAAGACTTATTGTAAACTTGAGCTATATGTATGATAAACCAGTATTTTAAATCTACCTAATGTAGATCTTTCATTTGGCATCAAATGTTATATAAATCATTAATTAGACATTTATATACATGCCAGGCCCATTATCAACGCTCTAGAACTTTGGATGGTTTTGATTTTCAACAGATTAAAATACGTATGTCAGTTAATGAATTAATTTAAAAATGAATAACCAAGACATTGTTTATTATCGAAACAATGGTAGCAATGACAATCAAGACTTCACTGTTCTGCAAATGATGGTAACTACGCTCAGAATGAAGTAATTTGACTGAAATTTTTTACATATTTTTTAACTATTATATCTAAATCTTACATAATGCATCTTAAATAAATAGTGATTTAAGTGATTTTGTCCCAATTTTTGAATGTGATTCAAAGAATAAACCAGTTGGGTTGTTTTTTTATTTAATCTGTAACTAGTGTAAGTAGAACTAAAGAAGTTGTATTTGCTACATATAGTAATATATAGTAATAGTTTAAAACAAGTAAACAAAAAACAGGTAAACAACATTATTTACTAGTAGAAGAGTTATGTGACCTACAAATTCATTAAGACTGAAAGAAAAATGAATGATTTGTTTCTCCATTTTGAATCTAGAGGTCAGTATTTCATTTTTTGGGCTATAATATTAATTAATCTAAAATAATTTCTTTACTAAATTTAGGACAAACCTGGCCAACATTTCAAGTGGTGGTCACGGTCCACCAACTGAATTAGTTTTGGTTTCAAAAAAATCTGATATTTACTAGACAATCTTTCCATTTGGCAATAACATGTCATTAACAATAGATTTGAATAGAACTCATTTAAAGATTGGACAATACAGGATTGAAGTATCTGGTTACGTCCTATAAAACACATTTTCTAGGTACTTCCCACAAAACACATTTTTGGGTACTTCCCAAATTGAACTAAAACCAAAAGTACTGGTATTATTAATTTATACTTATCAATTTACACCTTATAATTTAAATAAAAAACAGAGGAATTGAACTTTACTTAGTTTGTATCATCATGTTGATGTTGATTAACCCAGTCTTTTACATGCGAATCTACCACAAATTTTATCCCATAGCAAAGCAAGTGACAGCTAGTGCTCCAGCCTGCCATAACTTGTAGATATGATGTCATCATTGCAAAGAAATTTGCAACTTCCCACTATTTTGAATTTGTAAACATTTAACAGCATAGAATATGTTTATTCATTTCTAGAGAAAACATATGTACTGTCAAGCCAAATCCATGAGAACATTTTCAGCATGAAGATTTTGACTCTGTTCTAATACACAATGCAGAGAAACTGCTGAATAATATAAAATCAGAACAAACAGTGTGCAGATAAAATACATCAGTAGATAAAAGTACAGTGTGAAATTTTCAAGTGAAGGAAATCAATCTGATATTAATGATGATAATGTGATCTGAAAATTCAAACAGCAAAAACACCAGTCATGAAATGAAAATTATGAGTTAGTACACAACTACAATCAAGCAGCAGAGATTGTTATCAAATTATTACAATGGATTTATGATGTTTATGATCAACTTATGTTTTAAGTTTTCAGTTACACATACAGGTATATTTACGAGTTAAGAACCATGTGACACTGCTAGAATTTACAGAAATCTGTACGTCATTGTTATTCTGCTTAACGTTCTGGATACAATTTTGTGTGCACAAAAACGATTCTGATGTATCTCCCATTCTTTTTTACAGTCAACATCTGAATGTTGCTTTTGTGAGCAAGAACAAAAGTCAGCTTACAGCTAGTATGACTCCATCACTGTTCTATTTTAATTATCATCAGGTTTTAGCAATGATACAATAAATGCCATCCTTTTCATTAGTGTGCAAAATTGTAATGATGAATGAATATAATCTTACCAGGAGTTTTTGCAGGACATTGTTTCTTATTATTGTCCTGAAAATACAACAGAAATAATCAATGTAAACAATATATCATACATATATCTCATTATAATACGACTTCACACCTGGGATACTGTTTTTACCTGTATATGCCAGACATGTCCTACACCCAATAGGATATGTCCTACACCCAATCAGACATCAAGATACACTGAATCATATTCAAAATTGCAAAAAGTATTGACTGTACTGAGGGTATAACTATTACTATTCTCGATTGTCATTGATATTAGGCCGGATTGATTAAGTAATTGTTGTTTATTACAATTTTAACGTCCACTACATTGTATATATCAATGAAGAAGGCATAAATAGGTTAAAAACGTGTCTAAAATTCTTGTATATGAAAGTGTCACTTTAAAACACAGAGTTAAAATTTCCTGTCCCGAGAAGATCAGGCAGATACTTTTCTCCCTTCGGCATAATAAAATAAAAGTAAAATAGCAGGTCCAGGACATTATATTATAATACTGGTATATACCTTGTGTGATAGTTTGTGCCTTATGCCCAGGTTTGAATGTCTCATATATAAACCAGTATTCTAAATTTAGATATTCCCAAAATACTATGCATCCCAAATTGCAGATCATAAAAGAAATAATGTTAACAAAAGGTTACTTACTAAATCTTTACAGCCTTTTTCCAACCAGGACTGTCGGTGCCAATCTATGCCATCAGAACAACGTTCAACTCTCTCACACCAATTACATTGAAACTTGACATTCTGATGTATGATACATTCTCCACAATCGGATATAGTGTTACACGCTAAAGCAGATGAAATATTTATTTTATTAACAAAGTTACATAAAAGCAAATTGTACAGTGAGATACTAAATTATTATCTGAGACATTTGTTCTGCAAATTTTGTCAAATGAAGATGAAAAATATAAAGTATCCCCACTTCTATATCTAAACCACACATTGGCATCAGTCAGAATTTTAAAACAACAATTATTGATTGCTTCAGTTTCAAAAATATATGTTACCATGCAAAATAACTAATCCCACAGCAGCTAAGTTGTCCAAACACAGCTCAAAGGTTGTCAGCTATTTATTTTTTAGTAGGTAAGGGAGCAGCATTTATAAGAAATTAAAAACTGATCAATAGTATATTAAAGATAAACATGGTGTATACATTTCAAGTCAAGTGGACAATTTAATCAAAAGCGACAGCAATTAACAGAAATGAATAGGTATCTTTGTGTACAAATTTCAAGGCATATGGATAATAACTTCAACCTCCAGAGCATCAACAAGCAACTGTGGACCAAAGCATACATATGGATGCATTTCAATGTGGGCGTATAATAAAGAATTTAGCTTACTTGGCAATGGTGATAGAATGATGACAGTTCCTGATTTAACTTTATCTGTAGTAAATGCTACTCTGTGGTATTCATATATCGTTCTTCGTCGAATTCCTGCAAATATAAAAAAAATATTAAACACTTTAAATAACATACAAAAATGATCTAAAAAGATGACATAAAGTCATCATTATGATAATCACTGTGTTAGACACAAAAGCCGTTAAAATTATATGAAAAAGAAATGTCTTGCTTAAAGCAGTAATGTCTTTTTTGCTTTATGTTTTTAAGAAAAATAATATCTATTATTATATACAAATAGATTAATAAATGAATTATTACAATTTAAAAACATTTAATAATAATAATCTACACTAATATTTGTGACTGTCATTTGTTTGTCTGTTCAGGGTTGTCGACTACACTAGGGCTGTCCTGAGGCTGAAATTTGGTGTATAGAGGTAGCTCGGACCGGGGAGTAACATGGGCTGGATTACCGCTTCCTGTTTCGTAATTATACTACTTTCAACCAATACAGCGACGGGTCATCTGCTAGTATTTTCATAAAAGGAATAGTCATGTTGTCTAGACAAACATATGGAATAGCAACTCTACTATCACTGGGGTATATCTCTGTGATCTCTGACATCAAATAATACATTGAATTTGTTGTCGTAGCCAGTATTTGCTTGGGTTTTTACAATGGTTTCGCTGTTTGCCATGGTTAATTTTGAGTACTGGTGAAGAACATCTCTTTTTCTGTCACATGTATTTTCAGAATATCATATTTAAAGCCATCAGGTTAATGAATTGATTTAAAAAATATACAAACTTGTTTTCAATGTGCTTATATAATCAATATTTAATAACCTACCATACTGTTGTAAGTAAGTGTCTATATAGAAGGCATCAGACAAACCAATCTTCACTGGATGACTGCTATCAGATATAGATGACACAGCAAGGGGAATCTACAGGGACATAAACACATTAATATATACTATTCAAAAAAAAGTAGGGGATATTTGATTTTGGGGGCATAATACTAAAATATGAAAATGACTACGAAAAAAGTCACTATAGAACCTAACAGAAGAAACATTTCCAGTTACATGTGACGCCCAAACGCACCAATAGCTACCGCATGGAATGCAGGTGATGCTTGGGATCATCATGGGGGTCCAACCCAAGATTTGCACGACTCTGACTTTGAATGTTACAGTCATTGTGGCATTGAATTCCAGGGTGGAAACATCAGTTTAATTGTTTTAGTGACCAGAAAACAAATTTTGATATGCGTCGGCTAACCCAAAATGAAAGGTTACGTGCCCTTGGCATGCTACAGATCGGCACAACACAGGCGGTTGTGGCGCGGACGATGAATGTTTCTCAGTCTGTCATAAGCAGGCTATGGTCCAGATACCGTGATACACAATCTGTACAGGACAGACCACGCTCAGGTCGACCAAGGGCGACAACTCAAGCCCAGGATCGATTTATCCATACCTTGGCCTTGAAAAATCGTGTCATCACAGCAAATCAGATCAGCGCTCGTCTTCAAACAGACACTGGTGTGAGAGTGAGTGGCCAGACGATTCGGAATCGACTGCATAGGGGTCACCTTCGCGCCCGACGTCCGCGCGTGACCCCTTGTTTGAGAGATCATCACATTCAGGCAAGACGTCGTTGGTGTAGGGATCGTCTACACTGGGATAATCGACGCTGGAGCAATGTGATGTTTTCAGATGAGTCAAGGTTCACTGTTGATTTTTTGGACAGCATAGGAGGGTGTGGCGTCGTCGAAACGAGCGCTTCCAAGACGTTAACGTCATCAGACATGATCGATTTGGGGGTGGTTCTGTTATGGTGTGGGGAGGCATCACTGTTGCTGGAAGAACGGCTTTACATGTTGTTGCAGGGCGTGTTACAGGCCAGTACTACCGGGACAACATCTTGGCAGTCCATGTTGTGCCGTTCGCACGACGTCATGGCCGCCGTTTCATCTTCCAGGATGACAACGCAAGATGTCACAGGGCCAGGATCGTTACAGGTTAACTCCAACAACAGAACATCACCACATTACCTTGGCCAGCACTGAGTCCCGACCTCTCCCCCATCGAGCATGTCTGGGACATGCTTGGACAGAGGTTACGTCAACGTCAACAACGTCCTGCCAATGTCCAAGAACTTGCTGCTGCGTTGCAACAGGAATGAGACAATCTGGACCAAAATGACCTTAGACGTCTCATTAGGAGTATGCCACGTCGGATCAATGCTTGTTTGGCAAACAGAGGAGGATTTACCCGTTACTGACTTGGTTGTGATGCTGTGGTAACTTTGCTGTTTGACCCCGGGTATCATTTTACCCTTATAATGGTCAGTCTGTGCCTTACTTAGTCTAACGATCATTTGGAATGTGAACTTCATTTCATTTTGTCATTTGTTTCTTCGTCAGTTTCATTAGGTGACTTTAATAACACTTAAAAATCAAATATCCCCTACTTTTTTTGAATAGTATATTTATCAGCATTATCAATACCCCAGCACACAATCAGAGAATATAATACTAAAGCTTTTTAGCATTACCAGTTATTATTTATTTATTTACATATCAATTACCAACAGCATTTAATTTAGACCCGTGTGTCTAAAAAATACAATAAACTTACAGTTTTATATAAAAATTTGATGACACCATCACTCGATAAGATGACTTCAAACTCAAATGGATTGGCTGTAATAAAAAAAAAACATAGAACAAATTTTAAAGACAGAATTATCTATTTGGCTTTTACATAGAGAGAGAGAGAGAGAGAAATGGGGTTTAACGTCCACTCGACACAAACTAGGTCATTTCGGGACTAACATACAACCGGGGATTCGAAACGCCAGTCGACTCAATGACAGACTTTATGATACAGCGCGCGCACGCTAACCATTCAGCCATCCAACCCCCCTGGCTTTTACATTTTAATTTCTTGTAATAGAAGAGGGATAATGAAGAATACAGACATAATGTGCTAGTAGGACAATTTTGCCCAGACAGCAGCATTTCTGACGAGTCTTTATCACATTCTAACCGTGATGGGTTCTTTTGTGCTTGTAGTTATCCCATCCGAACAACTAGGTATTTTTTCCTTGGCAGGCACTATGTCCTCCACAACTGACATTAGGAAATCATGCTGGGAGATCACAAGGAACTTCTTAGGCCATCACTGTAATCGAATCTGGTTACTGAGCCAGTTTAATACTCACTGAACCTACTTGGCTCATAGAAGATCTTTATATCTGTCTTTACACAATAGTGTCTTGGGAATAAAAAATTATTCTCCATTATTTATGAGATGTCCTGATGTGTCGCAGTGAATATTATCTATAATTTCATATAACATTAAGCATTTAAATGATATTCAAGATAAGTGTACTTACTGTCATTTTGATCCTGTAATTGTACAGACTTCCACTGAACAACAAAACGATCACCTGGAAACAGACAACAAAATTAACATTTGAGGGTGAAATAAAGCCCAATTAATTTAATGACCCACATACACCAAGCTCTTGTATGAAAGCAAATACTTGGAACTACCTTATATACATTGCTTTTTCTACCTCTTAGAAGTTTTACAGGTAAATCAGGCCATACATTCATGATTACCATGAACAAAGTTGTAGTAATTTGATTCTAACCATATTGTGGATATACATGTAAACACATTTAATTCATATAAGTGGATTCAAGGTATCAATTATGTAATAATCAGTAATCTCCTTAGTAAGATTCACCATGTCTGTAACTAACAATTATTCTATATGTGATTACAACTATAATAAACCCATTTAATATACAGATGTAACGTCATCCTTTGATGTTAGCATACCATTAAGTCAAATAATGTATGGACAACTTGCCAATCGTACATTATTTATACTAGATGAAATATTGGACTTGTGTGATGTATTTCATTGAAAATCAATGATAGTGTCTGTTTAAGTTGTTTAATGGTCATGAGCTTAAGACATTGTGTAATATATTGAAACAACACTTGTACAGTATCAATATTTATTTTATGATCAGTAGTGGAATACCGCGTTTTATCAGTGAAATAAAAGTGTTATTCCACTGGCTAGCAGTAGTCCATGTTGTTTTTACCTAAAATGATTGTAAAATCATAAAATAAATAGAACATTTGTCGTTTTGTCGTGATTAACATATTTTATTTCATCTCTAAGCAAGAAAACGTTTATATTTTCTTGCTTCTCGATGAAATAAAATATGTTATTCACGACAAAACGACAAATATCCTCTATATATTACTTAATGTCTTAAGCTCTCAACCATTACACCACATATATTTGTCTTCATTTTCTTATGTAATAGATATACCTACCTGAATTATCATAATATACTCCAGAAGCATTACTTATTCTTGTATCAAAGTTGGCCATTAAAGGTGCAATATACTGAGTAGCTGTCAGCCATTGATGTAGGAAAGGACTTGTATATAGAAATCCTGAAAAATATTAAAATTGAATTAATTTGATTTAAATAAAAGGACTTGTTGTTTACAAGAAACTTGAAATATAATAAAATTGAATTGAATTGGTTTAAATGATAACTTCAGCAATTTAAAACCATTTACAATCCAATATTAATAGCAAGAGTGTGCTTTTTTATGGTTAAATGAAATGAAATGGGGTTTAAAATCCTGCTTTTCTGCTCCGCGATACATTGTGCTATCACAGACATTTTGAGTGGACAATAGCACAATGGCTTATTACTCTTCTTTCGAATTCCAATTGTCAAGGGTTCTTTTAGGTGCACACCTATGTGTACACAGGATCTCGTTTTTTGTACCATTCAAATGACTAGTGCTACTTGCCATGCTCTCTGTCCTGTACCACTGATGCTGGAAAATCCTCTGGATCTTTCACGGCCAATAACGGGATCTAATCCCATATATCTTATGTCATTCGCAATATTAGCATTACTAATATTACTAATTAGCAGTATTTATTAGAATATAGATTTAGGCCTATGTTTGCATTTTCTACTTACAATAATATCACCATAATTACAACAAGAAAACTTAGTCATCACACATAAATTAAGGCAAGTTTGTTTCCTAATTTGTAATAGGCAAGCACACAGGACGGTAGGACCCACTGAGGATATTTCAATGGGATAATAAACAATATTAAGCATGTATTATGCACATCCTTTTTCTGGCTTCAAATCCCATATAAATCATTATTATTTATTTATACACATGACAAGTCTATAATAAACTCTCTAGACCATAGGATTCCCAAAATTTAATTGGATTTGAACACCTGCAGATTCAAAAATTTAACTTAGACTTGGTTGTCAAGTAACATTGCTATGAAAATAAACGACCCACACTACATCTTCAAACAAGAATAAAGTAATCTGAACGGAATTTTCAATATATTCATTTTTCATTATCTATTTTATTTTTGAACTATTTTAGCATGCAAGAATGAATGGCCAGCTCTTTATCTAAATCTTACATAATGCAACATATGGTTTAATTTTATTTCAATAATTCGCTTGCGCGTAGGGGTCTTTAGCAGTGGGAGGAAACCAGAGGACCCGGAGAAAACCCACCAGGTTGGACAGGCGACCCTACTCCTTGTCACATACAACCGGGGATTCGAAAACACGCCAGTTGACTCAATGACAGACTTTATGGTACAGCGCGCATGTGCTAACCATTCAGCCATTCAGCCATACAACCCCCCATGCATCTTTAAGGGATAACCCTATAATCAACACACTGATGGTCATATACAAACCTCCTGTTGCCACAGTAACATTGGTAATGTTATGTCCATAAAAACGGAATGGAAAATTCAAATCAATTGTCTGAAAAATAAAGTTCAGATCCATTAAAGGATTATATTGCTTTAAGCTGGATAATAATTAATTAACATAAAATGTTATAGACCAGGGATCTTAATCGGCTGTTTTTTGTCGGCTTAAGCCTCTTGAACTTCAATCAAGCTGATTGGTAAAACAATGAACCAGCCACTATGGTAACATAAATCAATCTACTTTTGGCTAAATTACAATGGGTTAATTATTACTTGTTCATTAAGTAGTCAATCAACTTGCTTGCCGGCTACCATAACAGTCATACCTTAGTGAGAATCGGCCATGTGGTTTATAATCTGAGTAATTAGCACGAGTAACGGTAATTTTGATAATTCGGTAAAAAAACAAAACAAGCTTGATGATTATTCATAACAGGTTCAGGAAGCAAATAAGCCACGTGTGGCAATCGAAGGGAGACGATCTAATTGCGTGCCTTCGACGCTCCATATGAATTCCAAGTGTACCAGTAGATATTAAAATAATAATTGGATCATAATTTAATGATTTCAGTGACCAGGTGAATATAATCCTCGGATAGAACATCGAATACAACGAGAAACAGTCATTAATAATAAATAATAATATATTATGAATCTCCAGTGCCGAATCCCCGCTGACAAGTGACATCGGTTGGAATTAAGTCAATAAACCAGCGATGCTAGTTTTAGTTTTAAATAGCGTTTACCATTATGATTTTTTATTTTATACCCATGCTGACAGAGGCTTAATTATTAACATATTATCATTATCATTATTGAAAGCCATATGGCATAGTCATATGGATTTTAATTTTTAAAGCCATGTCAATATTGTCACGTCATGATCACTGTGCTGTGTGTCCATCATGGAAAAATGAATAAAATCATTTGCAAGTTACATGTATGTGATAGAGAAAAAAAAAACACCCTACAAAATGTGTTATGAAGAAATACCATGCTACCGTATCAGCTTATATCCATCGAAAAAAACAAATACAAGTACATTAATTTATTCAGGAATATTACTGACATGAATTTTAAGCCTGTACATGGATTAAATATGGAAAATATTCCGAACGGTGGACCTGTTTGTCGTTATTTTTGTGGTAATTACATACAGTAGTATACGATATTCTTCATAACAAATTACCAAGACTTATTTTTGTTGAAGTCTGGTTATATTAAAGGTAATGGAAGCTTAAAATTTTAAAACCCAGTTCCTACCGGGACCTCATTTGACCCAATTCTGGCCGGTTCAATTCAAAATGGATTAAGAACCCTGTTATAGACGATTAAATTTTTTCTAAATAGTCCACTAAACTCAATTCACTTCAGGCTAAAATAAGATAAGTCATCTATAAATAAGAACTGAGTACATTAACTAATCACATGAATGAAGTTGTCACAATGGAATCCATGCTGTCATAAGGATGTTTATCTTGTCTTCACATCGCTAAGATCTTCATTAACTTTGACATTTTGGATCTTATGTATTTGAGCTAAATTCTTTGTTCGATTAAGTAGTCAGACTGCATTACCTCATCGAATGCTACTTCATTTGGACACTATCAAAGTGCAAATATTCCAGTTATGCCATTTGTATCTCCCTTCAGATATATATGACATGGAATTTTAGACCAAATACAAATTCCAACTAAGGATTTTACCTACAGTATGTGCTGCCAATCTTAAAATCTATTTTCGTGATTTCTATCTATGCCACCTACATATCCAACGAAATACATATGGAAAGGAATTTTTGACCAAACACAAAGTCCAACTAAATGACTAGGAAGTTTTCAAATGCTCTGCCAATCATAAAATTTACTTAATGCTTTTGGATTTTAATTCTAAACTTTCAGTTACATTACCAAATGCAGCGCCTTAATACTAGTATATTGTACTAACCACAGCAGTTCGATGACTCTTTGATAATGTTTTATGTTGTTTAGTGGTGGGCAAATCAATCCAATGTTCATTAATACTGTTAGGCAACACCTTAGATTGATAATAACTATGGTCATCCTGAAACAAAAGAAAAAAACTAGTGACATATGGCATAAGAGATGAAGGCTACAAAATTTTATTTTCAGGGTTCAAGTCTGAATCAATATGTTTTGGAGAAGTCAGGAACTAATGCTAACTTTAAATAGATAATATGATCCACACTGCATGACTGCAACAATACAATCTGATTAAAACACAGATCCTATTTCATTCCGTTTTTATAGTTCAAAATTTCGTTTTACTTGTCTTTACTACACTAGGATCTGGAATGATGTGAATGATGATGTTCTGAATGATGTGAGCTATTAGCCAATGAAACGTTCTGTTACGGCGAGCAATAGGCGTGTTTTGCACAGAACTGTGGGTAATCCACTAGTAACCTCAATGCCGATTGGTTAATCAAATATCTGATGTCATAGGGTCAAAAGCTGCTCGTATGACCTCTGACGCGACCTATCGCTACAAACGGTCAGATCTTCGTGTAGTGTAGGCCATCGGAAGTATAAAAAAACGAAACAAAATATAGATCTGTATTTTAATCAGATTGGCAACAAAAAAATTTTATTTTTCAGATACAAATGATCTAAATTACAATGTGAATAGAAATAACGCAAACTCTTTAACTACCAATCTATTAACTAATTAAATACAAAGTATAAACTTTATCTTTGATCGACCATGTTAATGTACAGTAAACTTTATTTATGATGGTACATAAGGTACAGTAAACTTTATCTTTACAGTACATATACAGTAAACTTCATCTTTGACAGTGCATGTAATTGAAAGGTACAGCAAATCATTATCTTTGAAATTGAAAGATACATGTACGATGTACAGTAAACATAACTGAATATTTTTTGACTAATAAAAAATATAACAAAATTTGTGGACACATCAAATGAGAAGTGTCAATACTTGTTGTATGTGTTCCAGAAAGAGTATGCAGATTGCATAGCCTGGCTCCAACACACCTATTAATTACTTGGTAATGATAGTTTGGACATGTAGTCATGATCAAGTATTGTAACTGATATGCTGGACTGGATCAACCAAGTCTACTTTAAATATTAATTGTGAAACTTACCTCAATGATTTTAGAAATAGGTGTGGTAGTTTGAATAGGAGACGATGTACTGTCTTTTTTCACATCAGTCTTTGCAGTTGTCTAAAAGTAAAATTAATACAAATTTTTAAATATTATGTCTATGTTGAAAGTATAAACGAAAGCTTTAAATGAACAAATCTATTTCAATCCCTCTTAGCTACTGATTAATTTTAGTTTTCTTCTGGTATCTCACGGTTACACTTCCTTCATTATCATATACTGTAGTCCAGTATGTGAAAATCCATCTAAGCCTTGTGGTTTTTTTTTAATTATGGGTTGGGAGGAATGGGCCTGAATACCTCAGTTTACATGTACTGCACACAATACTGTTACATATACCATTTTCAAAATAAAATACTGAACATTTTAAATCTTATGTCAAAACATCAACACAGACTGCATGTTACGACTTAAAATTTGTAAGTTAGGTGAGACAATCTTTATTTAGAGTTATGTACATTGTATAACATACAGTATATTGAATAAATTTTTGAGTAATGATTTCAAGGAGATTTATTAACCTCTTGAGGCAATTAACCAGTCACTATAGTTATGCATGTAACGAAAACAAAAACTTTGTTGTACCGGTATACAGAACCTTTTTTAATTTTATTTTTTTTTTAAAAAAAGCAGAATTCAGAAACTGTTTTTTTCAATTATTAAAAGCAGAATATAGAATCTTTTTATTTTTAATTGCAGAAATGTTCTTAATTCTATCCCAGATTTTATTTTCCATAACACGTCATACTTGTTTAAGCATTCTACCCAGTATACATATGGATGTGGAATTCTTTTACTAACCACAAATTTGATTGCAAATCACCATGCTTCAAGCGTACAGTTCTATCACTATGACTACAAAGATTACAACATCTGTAAACTAGCCAATGAAAGAAGCAGGTGCGTTGTTCCAGACGGCTGGATTATCAAGTCTAGTGTCACACACATATACATACATCACTGTTCTATTTTCATTATTGTTTATATAAATGTTTATTTGATCAAACAAGAATGTGAGAAACCTTTAACAATTTCTAATTAATATTTAAACAGACACAATATAATATATGTTAAAGATACTTTCTCACATACAAACTGCGTGATTTGATGACATATTTGGACTAAAACATATTCAAACTAATTAATCTATCAAAAATTTGCTTCAAATCCATCTCAAAACTTTGCATTTGAAGGGAGATACCCAAAGCTATAAATAAACTGTTGTTAGAAGCCATGTTTGTCAACTAACTTGATCCAGTATTTTTCTAGCAAGATTGAGCGTCTGAACTTTCCATACCGGTACATACTAAATTTGCCATACTTTAATTGGAATTAAAATACAGATGTGACGTCATCCTTTGATGTTGGCATACCATTATTTACAATAATGAACGGGCAACTTGCCAATCGTACATTATCTATACTAGATGAAATATTGGACTCACGTGACATATTTCATTGAAAAGCATGTGCGGGATAGTGTCTGTATTTAATGCTGTTTAATGGTCTCGAGCTAAAGACACTGCGCAATATATTGAAACAACACTCGGCTAAAACGTCTCATGCAGTATCAATATACATGTATTACTTAATGTCTCGCTCTCGACCATTAAACCATACATAACCACCCGACAAATACTTTCGGGACAATGTATGTTTAAATTAATAAATTACAAGCCTATTCCCCTTGTGATCAATTTACATCTGATAGTGATATATTATCTATAACTGATTTAAAGTAGAAGTATAATGTACTGTTTTATATTTTGTTTGCCATTAAAGAAACATAGAATTAAAACAGGAGTAAGATGGAAAATCCCTTATAATTATAAAGCCTCAATATTGTAACGATTAGGTTAAAAGTTGAGTGTCTGACAACAGAAAAAGAAGGGGAATTATTTAAAACTTGCTGTCTGTGGTGTATGTTAAAGCAGTGACCTAATGACTTTAAGATGCAAAATTAATGAGTAAGGCATAATGGGGAGCATCAGTGAGTGAATCCTGGTTCCATTTTAATTTAGAAAGTGCTTTAAACTTAAACACTTATTAATTCAAACAAGATTATTTTTGTACTAAATATGGACTATTTTCATAAAAAAAATGTACAAGTAACAGTAAAGACAAATTTTGAAAAGTAATTATGTATGTTTAGTGATATTTTCACAGTATTCTATTGAATTATAACTCAAGAAGAAGTACATGTATATGCAATAGCCAAGCTAGTCTCTTTAAAAGTAACAAAACAAATAAATTTCTGAATGTCTTTTGAGTTATATGTAAAATATCATAGAGTAAAGTTACTTTTTCAAAATAAATGTTTGAATATCATTAGAAACCATAAAAAAGCAGTTACACAATATAGTTTCAACAAAATTCCCTTTGTTTTGTTTATCCCAATACAAACTTTGTTTTCCATTATCATTAATTTATAAGGTCAAAGACATACTTTGACTGTCTGCACTCGTTCATACTTCATAGACAGGCATGATACTCACAGAGTGCTTTGACAACCTTATTTCCTGGTTTATTGGGTGAAAATGTCTCCATCAATCAATGTTTTATGACTTGGAACAGATGAGACATACAATTTGTGCGACAACAATGTTCGTTTAACATAATAGTTTGCATTTTCCTTTCTTTAAACTATGCATGCTTGACCTTCACCCTGGTGTTGCTTTAATAGTGACACCTAGTGAAGAACTGGATAATGTGGTCACGGAAGTGACAAATTGTTCTCAAAATTTTGACAGAAACAATATTGGATATATTGCTATTTCTTTTGAATGGCTAATTGAAAAGCAATGTAAATTGTAATTTCTAATGACCTTTCAATTTAAAAAAAAAAGACTTTCAAGTTCAAAGTTGGGGATGAACAGTTTTTCAATTTAATGATATCATTTGGAATAATAACTTTGTCAAAATATTGACCCAAAGAAGGTACCATACTTCCTTGTTGATGTACAATAATACATGTATAATTTTGTTTGATAGTTGTGAAAATTTTATATCACATATTCTATGTCTTTGTGAAAGTAGCCCATACATGTACTACTACAGTATGCAAAATTGGGGAGCTGAAATTACTCAAAGGGGTTCCGGGTTCAATCCCGGTGTTGGCCGAGAAAATTTCCCTAGCATCTAGTAGTTCAGATGGGACAAAAAAACGAGATCAGGAGTACACATGCTTATTTTCACCATGGTGACTGTTTCCTAATATGGAAATGTTAAAGCATGAAATTTTAATCAATTATACATAGTCAATCAATATATATATACATGTAGGAAAATATGTGAACAAAAGATCACTCCTAAGATTTTATATAATGGCAAGGAACGCAGTCTACAGGGTGTTCATTTACTACTAGTCTATGCAGTCTACAGGGTGTTCATTTACTACTAGTCTATGATAAGGACATGAACTATGTCCTATAGCAGGTAGCTCTCCTTTACATATTCTGACGAGTTTATGGGGAGGTAGAGTTTGATACGGTCTGACAGTATGTTGTTGATGATATTACTATTATTAACAAGGATGACAATTTGTGGAAGAATCACTCCTATTGTCTTGTAACCATGCAAATATTTTTGTTTATGTACAGGATGGTAATGGTCATAGAAAAAAAAAACTCATTACATAGCATTGTTAGGTGTCAAAGACCGAAAACATCTTTCTACAAAAGTCAACCAACATATTTTGTTACCAAGATCAATGTAATCATCTAAATTCGCAAAGACAGTAGTAATCATCTAAATTCTCAAAGGCGGTATATGACAGAAAAGGAAGAAATAGTTTTACACTCTCGCACAAATTTTGCCCAAAAGTAAATCTTGCATGTATATAATGAACAATTGTCATCAATATTTAATCTGTACATCTGACTGATAATTGTTTGTTAATAATTAATAAACTTTTGAAAACAATCAGCCTAATAATCTTTATATAATGGAACCCAGTTATTACTTCCCATGCTATTTGTTGGTTTCCGACTATTTCTAGGTCAAACAATACACATCAGAGAAGTTATATTATACATTTGTCATACAACATTATATATTCTTATATTACATGGTATTCAGCAAGCAGAAATATTACTGCGATACATATATATACTCAGTCTAAAAATTAAAAAAATATAAAAAGTTGTATTATACCTTCGTCTGGGGAGTTGTGCTTGGAGTAGGTGAAGGTGGAGATGTGTTCACAACTGATACCGTTGTTGATTTCTCTGTCACAGGTACTGGTATGGGTTTCTCTGTCGATGATTGACTTGTTACAGGTATTGATGGTGCTGTTGTTGTTGTTGCTGCTGAAGATACTGGTGAAGCTGTATCATTTGCCTGTCGTTTATACCGATGGTTGCTCTCTAAACTTTGATGTTCTACTACTGTTTGTTTGTGATCAGGTGATATATGCAACTTATATTCAACATCTTAAAAAATAAAAAAAAAAAAATAAATATACTAAAAGAAAAAATGTAATTATAGAATATAGAACAATTTTATACTATTTTTATAAAATTGCTTTTAAGTATGTTACTTTTATGATAGACCCCTATTTGCCTAGCCTACATATAATATAGGAGACATAGTGGGAATTTCCTTAAAGATACATTATGTAAGATTTAGATAAAGAGCTAGCCATTCTTGCTATAATAGTTCGAAAATTGATCATGTAAAATGAATAATTTGAAAATGTCATTCAAATTACTCTATTGCGAGTGAAGATATTAACCCTTTTGGAGGTTCGACAAGACGTGTGCAATAATTTCAACCACCATACTGGTTGTTCGAAGCTAAGTCTCGCTCCTCCATTTTTAGATTAAATCAAAATATGTCTGAACCGTTCTAATCTATTTAATAAAATTGAAGAAATCTGATGCCATCAAGAGTTGATTATGGCCTAGATCAGTTAATTAATGTCTAATTATTAATTTAGAAAACATTTCAGGCCTAAAAAAAAGACTTGCAATAGGCAGATTTAGCTCTAGCATAATGTATGTTTAAATTTACATCAGATTGCATGCACTTCTTCATTAGTCTGATTGGTGCCAAAAACGTTAAATAAATCACTTTTAATTTTCCCTAACCTGCCAGGGTCAGCTACATGTACATACAGTATGTAGCTGGAAGAACAAAGCTATAAATGATCAGTTTCGTAGATAGGATTTTGACATATGACGACTGTACATCATACAGTCTCGATTAATAAGACAAAAGGGGAAGCAATCTTATACGAGAAACAGCAAATATTTACTACCATAGTGCCAATCAAGAAAACTGACAAAAGTAGACTTTAGCGGTATATAGACACTTTTTATGTTGAAAATAAAATTACCCAAGCCATAACTCATGGTAAAATCCAGTTTAAGGTCTGGGTCAAAGAGGCTAAGTTTGGGTAGGAAGGAATGTTCGAGATACCCTGTACAGTGAAAATCTAACACACACACTGTATGACATAACAATACAAAATCAATATGTCAGAAAATTATGTTGTGATAAAATATCATTGTGTATTGGACTGATTACTGATCCTATTAGGGAAGAGGAAATATAAAATAGGCTGGATCTGGATGTTAAAAATCTGGAGCATCCCCCTGTGCAGTTGATTAAATAATGGCATTACTTATATATATTACCCACTCAGACTGAAGTTATCGATTCACGCTTATCATCAAAATAAAAAGGTTTAGTTCTTATCCCAAGACACCAATAAGAGAAAAGAAACCAACCATAATGTACAGTAACATATCTAACAGTCGTAATACATCTTTTTACACAGACGTTTTCTAATAAAACAACAATATATGTACGACGTACGTACATTGTACAATAAGTCAAAAGTTTTCATTGAAAAACTTCTCTATTTCCTAAAGAAGGAAATGAAAGATATACATGTATGAATGATCTACATGTACATTAAAGATACATTAGTTAACAGTTTAATAAAGAGTGGCCATTCTTGCTATAATAATTCAAAAATAGATGACAAAAAGAGAAAATATTGAAAATTTCAGTCCAATTACTTTATTCTGAACGGAGTTGGAAGTTTGGACTAGAAATACATGTAGGCATCAACTGTGTCCGCACCTTCCACAAGAATTGTTGATCTTGTGATTGACAGACCATAACTCCACCCACTTATTCTCGATTACCAAGTAACATTTTCAATTGTTATGGTACCCTCTCTTGGTAGGCCTTTCATCACCAGTTTCCGGTAGTGACGTCAGTGACTAATGGTAAATGTTAGCTTAGTCGGCCATTTCTTGATTTAATTTTAAATAGACGACTGTTTAAATCCAAGCTGTATCCAAGCCATCCAAGGGTCTACAGAGTTGATTTTAAGCTTGTCATTAAAAAAGGGTCTAATTAATATTTCTATAACATCTGAAGCCTAAATAAAGACTTGCAATAGGCAGATTTAGCTCTTGCATAATGTATGTTTAAATTTATAGTATATGCACCAAGTTACAAATGTATCTTTTGCTAGTCTACAAGACAATCATATTCGACATGCCCAATAGTATATATATGTTAGGAGCATGATCTTCCTATTTATTGAGCGAATATCGACAAAGAATCTATAGGCAATTCTTTGAAAGCCGAAAATCATAATTGTATAATCAATATGATTTAGTAAAAAAACAAAGCTGTATATCTTTGTACATATAGATGTTCATAAGCAGAACTGCACTGTGTTTTAATTACAATATAGGTGGAAAGGGGAAAGTAAGAACAACAAAAAGTCCCTGAGAACTTTCACACAGATTCCCTTCCTCAAACACCTGATATCTAATTATACACAGATCAAAAGCTTAATTAAAATTTCCAAATACATGTACATCTCATCTATGTTTCCCTGATCTTTCTAACCTTCTATGTATGCTGGAATTTGCCCTAATGCATATTACCTATATTGCCAAAAATTAAGAACCAGTTATCAATACAGTGCAAGTGATCATTGTAATTGTACAGTATGGGTAGATACTGTAAATCATACGAAGGTCTAAAATAGTCTTCTAAAAGACCTTTCAGACTGTGTCGGAATACATGTACATATGTATATATATGTATTTATGAAAATAAAAAAAAATCCCCAAAAAATCATGCAAAAACAGAGTTTAAATATTCTGATTCTCCTTGTAAACAACAATAGCCTTGACAATGGCTAGGGACTACCGGTAATACAAACTGTATAATTCTTTATTCTGGTTAATGTTATTAGTTTGTTCCTCTCTAGGCTGGTATTTTAATATAATTATATATAACTGTTTCTATAGACCAGTAACATTTCTAAAAGACAGCTTTTGACATTTATCTTTAACTGTATTCTAATATTTCAATATTATCAATAAATTTCAATAGGTCTATGTTTTGTATTGATCTCTTAAATTTAATAACAATCGACACCAACAAAGATTAGTTTAACAATTTTTTTCCAATCATTATTAGTACATGTACCACAGCCATTTGTCAACCAAGAACTACATGTATAACCAAATGCCCTGTGAAGAATTTCACAAAATCTTGTTTTATTGTGATTATTAAGGTTTTGGATCTACTGAACATGGTAGATAATTTTAATAATTTGGCTGGATATTCCTTCTGAGAATTATCTTCTGTGTTTATTGGTATATTCATCTTTGATTGATCACACACTATAACAATGTTTATAACCATTTATAAATTAATTTTCTACACATAAAAACTACAATGAAAACTAATATCGATTAGTCTCTTTTAAGGTAAAATTTAATTACGTAATTTCATGGCATGTACTTGTAAATAGATAGGTACTCATTTGCACTTCCTGTCTGGGCAGAAATAAGAGACCAATGAATCTACATGCAATATATGCTTAAGGGGTTAATCATTATTATTGGTATAAACTTATTAAAGGCAGAGTTAATTATTAACACACCACAACAATGAAACAAAAAATAAATAATAGACCATATACATATACATATTTAGGTAGGTTAAGATGTAATTTAACACCAGGGTAGGTATTTAATCACCATGACAAAGAAAACAGCTAACTCATGGTGGTCATATTATATCTTATACCTTATTTCAATTAGTCATACAAACAAATATAGTTACATACACTTCAGATACTGTAGGCAGTGAAGGGACTTGACAATACAAGAAATGTTAATAGATCTTCATGATATCTGCCCAAACTACGAGATTCTGTGTAGTACTACAAATTAACGAAATGATCACTCCTAGTGTGGAACCTTGAATTTAGCATTAACAATATGCATAAAAAGGGTAAAAAAATGAGTCCTATATCCTCAAATACAAGAGGCCACCTGACAAAGCATGAAAAGTTTTTGGATAATGTAAAAAAAAACATGTACATATACAACCAAACAATTAAATCTCAACTAAAAAAGCCACTTTATGCTTTTCCCTTTAAAACAATAACAGCATACGCTATACAGATAAATAAGACACCAGTCAACATAATTATTTATGTTATACATATATGTATATGGTCTGTTTACCACCATCAATAGATAGATAAAACCAGGATATCTGACAAAGGCCTATGTATGTCATACACTTTAGTATCACAATATCCTTCATGAATTCATACCCACATACAACTATAATAAATAATTCAAAAATAATATGTTGGTAAAATTTATATTAAAGATACAATGCACACAAAATCACAAAAAAAAAAATCTTATTTAGATTTAACAAAAAAATATAGAATAGATCAGACGTTCTTTGTACCATCTTTACGTACAGTACATGTACCAAATGTCATGGATAGTAATTAAGATTTATTGTTCAGTCAGACGTTGACAGACAATTACCACAGAATATTTAAATGGCAGCATGAAATCAACAGAAAGTAATGTGAACTTTAGATGACCATAAATGTAACTGTATGCCTTTTGCCATTTGCCATTTATTCTGGAACCTTGCATCTTTAATTGAAGTTTAGAACCTTTATTATCATTCAGACAGTGGGTTGAGAACTTGAGTGGGATGTCTGCCATAGAGTACAGTGGACAACTCCAAATCCAGGGTTAATAAGACTATGCCTACAAATCATGGCAATCATAGACTATTCTATGTTCTCCATTTACATATTTCAGACAATTTCTAACTTTTAATTGCTTAATCCATGCTAAAATGTACATAAATTGATTATTAGATAATCTCCCCTGTTGGATTTAATAAAATCAAAAAGAGGCTTGTCAAAAGATATTAGCATATTTGATTTACACTGTCTGAAGAGGATGCTGAATGTTGTCAAATTTTCATCTAATACTTTACGGAACTGAATCCGTTGATATTTCTTTTAGAGATTCTATTGTCACAACATTGTAGTGTGCAACCGATTAAAAATCCCTCAATTGACAATCCAAGACTTTATTGACTAATTAATGTAATATATATTCACAATTTTTTCAGT